GAGCGGCCGGATGCAGGTTTCGTGACTCCGAGTCACTCGGGACAGAGACCTCGCACTGGATGCGGTACGAAAACACGGGCTAAACCGCGTATGCTGTGTAGTGTACGGTAGCCCGTTGTCAGCAAGCTTTGATACTGGTGCTTTTTCGACAATCGTGCTGGCGACATGTAGCCTTTTCTTCCATGCTATTATCTACCTTGCTCCAAGGCCTGGGAAAACGAAGCAAGTTGTCCGTACCCATACGAATACTGTAGAGCTGTGAATGGGTGCACAACCTTCCGTCCTCTAGCTTTCATGAGCGCCACTCCAGAGTTCCCCCGCTCGAGATACTCGAAGAGGGTGGGAGCCTGTGAGGGACGCGAGGAGTCCGTGAGACGCAGCGCAGGATGCAGGTACGTACCTGCAGAGCACAGCGGCTCATCAGGGAAGAGCTGCTTCAGAAATCCAGAGTCATAAAAATATTTCGTCAGAAAATTATGCGGTGTGTGTCACGTGGGGCCGAAGTGGCTGAAGGTGGGCCCTCGCAATATCTCGTCGTGCTGCCCCAAGCCGTGAAAAGAAGAAAGGTGTGTGATGCGGCGCGGACGGAGCTAGGACAGGAAACCCGGAGACAGACAGTCGCGTCGCAGTTGCAGGGGACCATCCCAGCCCGCACCAATACTGTGTAGTCCAGCCCAACCGATCGACAGTATGAGCCCCAGCCTCCGTCTATCCCCTGGCGAGCTACCAACCAGCGCAAACCGTCAGTCCGCATCGGGACCTCGAGCAGTATCCGTAGGTATTTCGTACCCGAGCAGACCTAGAGCTTGGAGCTGGTGATCTTTCCGTGGTCCATGAAACCTGGAAACAGTGATTCGGAATCCCACCTGGTCGTTTGAAAATGAGAGCACCGTAGCCGGCCTGTGATAATTAAGCGCTGGTAAGAACACCCGGGTTGAGGCTTTTACCCTATGTTATCAGATATTGGGAACAATATCACATTCGGCAGCAGTACCCTTGGGGATTTCAATTCGAATGAACCGAGTCATCAGAACGTTCCGTTCCCAGCCTCCCCGTCGCTCGTCAACCTGACCTTCTTTTGCCCCTCACCGTTCCAAAGCCAAAAGCCGAGGGTGGCTAGCAGAGTAGTTGGCGGCACTGGGCAGAGCAGAACAGCCGTCACCGCCTCTTCTTTCTCCTTCTCTTCGCTCAACTGCCCCTTGCTCGCACTGTCCGTGTCCCACTCCCGGCACCCGTCGCTGCGAGGAGAACGAGGCAGCCTGGCAGTGTCGAAGGCGAAATACAGGAGATGCGCAGCCCGAGTGAATCGTCGGTCACTAAATTTAGGCCTTGCTAGGTGCCAGCTCACAACCCGTCGATCGGCTTCATTCCTCGGAGTGTTGGACGATGGATCAGGTTTTCGCTCCAGTCCCGACACTGACCGGCTGGCTTGTTGCGTCACCCATACCGTACGCGCATACCGCTGCCATGCCATGAAACGACGGCTGAGAAAATGGGAAGACACGGAAGAGAGGCTTGATGAGGTAGCCCAAGGTACAGTGCAGTAGGGTCCGCCTCAATAGCTCTAGAACTTAGAGCTTCAGAAGAACATAGGTAGAGTGCAGCCTACGCGTACCGCCGCACCGCATATCGTGTGTCGTGTTGCAGCTGGAGCTTGGGTCAGCATGGACCAAAAGTGGTCATCCTGCCGGGAGGTCAGGATGGGCATTGAGCAACAGCGGTGCGATGAGTCCCTTCTCGTCTCATGTTTCCCGTCGTCGTTGGTGTGTGCAGCCTTGCTTTAAAAGAGGGAAGTGCTGAAGTAACGTGGCAGATGGAGACTTTGCCCCATGCGGAAAAGTTGAGAGTTCGAGAGCCGGGGCAGAAAATCAGAGAGGTTGACAGGCAGACGCCGAGCGCTCGGAGGAAGAGGGAAAAGAAAACCCGCCATGAGCGGAAGAGGATGAGCCACGTTCAAGAATGTAAACTTCCATCCAACAGGCACTATCGATATCACACTGGAAGATGCTGACTTGTTGATAACAATAAAGATGTTCGGCACGAAAGTGGACAGCTTAAGGAACCTCAATCCTCACTTAGAATACCGGTACCTTCCTAGGAAAGTGGGAGTTACTTCTGCACCTGACTTTCTTGCACTCCAGGGAAACAAAAAAAACCAAGGCCAGGAAATTCGACAAGCAGTGAAGGAGCGACGGGAGGATGGGAAAATGACTGGATGCCTTACTGGAAAGATCCACTTTTACCACAGTTCCAAAGCGCACCCCTCTTTCCCCTCTGTCGGAGAAAAAGAGGTGTGAACATAGCCGGCCCAGCTCAAGATCACGTCATGACAGCAAATCAGAAGCGAAGACAGCAGCGCCAGCCACACCCATGGACCCACTAGGACCCGCTGATTCAGCCAGTCAGAGATGTTAAAGGGTTGATGGTCCCGCCCCTCAAATCATGGCCCAGAAATCTCCCTCGTCTTCCACCTGCTCCTCCGCCCCAACCAATCAATCCTTTCCGACCCACCCAAACGTGACAAGGTGCGAAGGCAGAAAAGAAAAAGGACGGGAAGACAGAGAGAGAGAAAGAGACAGCAAGCAGCAAAAGAGCGAGCGAGTCGAATCATTCAATCAGCTTTCGTCCCTCAGCAGCACTTCGAAACAGACACCAGGGTCGACCAAGCTGGTGTCATTCCATTGGATCCTCGACCATCATATCAATCGGTCGCCAATCATCAGCTAAGCCTATCCGCTACGCATTTTGGCACTATATCGATCTTGCATCCAGGTCGTGTCGTGCGGACGGTATCGTAGCAAAGCTGTGAAGAGACGCGCGCGAAGAATCCTCAAAGAGAAGACGTGAAGAAAAGCAGAAGAGGTCTACTTACTTTACAGTAAGGTGACAGTGAGGGGGGAACCATAGCGCGACAGGCAGGCAGGCTGGCTGGCAGGCAAACAAGCAAGCCGTCAGCGGCAACGCAACGCATCACCGAGCACAACGCCCGCGCGCACCTTTTCTTTCCTGCCTCCTTCTACACACCTCACGGTCACTTACACACACCGCCAGAAAACCGCGGTGGGAAGGCAACCCGAGAATAAGACAGCCAGCGCAGAGTACGACGACTCAACTCGAGAAAGAAAGAAACGCAGTGACGCAACATTGTCCTGCCCGGCCCTACCCTCCGACTCTGCCACTTTTATTGCCAGCCCAACGTCTTGCACTTCTGGCGGCGACGTCCTGAGAAAGTGGAAAGAAGATAATTACACCTCAACGCGGGAGGGGGCGTGTGTGCGTACCTTCCATTGCTGTAAGTTAGACCATCACCACCACTACGGAGTACCACGGTGCGGCTTTACCCAGGACTTTCACTTCCTCACTTCCCGCCCTTACCCTCTTCAGTCTGACCATGTCTGCTTTGCTCCTTCCCTCACTGCGACGTCAACGTCAGCAAACCATACCCCCCTCCCACCACCTCCACACCCCTACCCCTCTTCTGCCTGGCTGCCTTGCCCTCCTCACCTTCCTCGCCCTGGCCTATTTCCCTTTCCCTTTCCCCTCATTCCGTCTCTCCTACCACAGTCTCTGTTAAACACACCCCCTCTATCGTCGCAGCCTTAGGCCCACCTGATCCCAGCAAGAAAAAAAAAAAGGTGACCCATCTTCCGCCGACGCCACACACTCACACTCGTGTCTTTAGGATCCACGCACCTTTTGCTTGGTTTTTTTTCCCTCTCGACCCTCGTGACCCTCCGAAACAGGCGTACAAAGTGCCAAAGAGCCCCGGTTCGCCAAAAGGAAAAGCTCCAGCGAATCCAACGAGCCAAAAGCCAGAAAAAACCCGCCCTCCCACAAAACCCAGCAAATCAGCTCGGTTTTTTCTTGCGACCACTCACATCCCTCCCTCAACTCTCCAAACGTCTCCCCCGACCTAACACCACCACTCACATTTCACCACTCATCACTCACCCAACAGTCGTGAATTGTTCGCGACTTGGAATCCGCCCAGAGAGGTCCTATCATCGTCGATTTTGATCTTCTCGCTATCCTGCGACCAAGCATCTTGTCTATTGGCCCAATACCAGTAGCAATACCAACTGCTCGCTCATCAGGTGACTGAAGCAACCTGCGGAAAAAAGCATCTTTTCCTGTCTCTGCCTGTTTGACCGCAGCGCTCCGGACCGCACGCATCGCATCGCATCAGCGCAGCGCACCGCGACCACACAGCAAAGGCCAGTCAGCCCAACCGCGTCGCACTTTCGCCCTCCCGCCAAACATCCTATCGCGCAACGCGTCATAGCTTCTTCGGAGGCGATTTCAAGCTCATATCGTGACACTCGAGTCAAAAGCCTATCAGAAAGCTTCGCCTCGACTTAGACCAGGAGCCAATCCCCGAAAAATTCACCCCCAAAGCCAAAATTTCAGCCAACCAGGTACGTTTCGCATGCCACTCGACTCAAGTCCTTTGGCGCCCCTCCTGTCCAGCCTTGTACGCGCGCTTCCTTGTCCCTGACGACGGCCGCCATCTTCTTTCCCTATCCCGTCTTGTCATTTCTATTTTGTACGCTATCCTCGTTTGGCTTCTCTGTCAAATTTGGTGCTTCATTTCTCGAGCTACCTATCCATCTGGCATTGCCAAGTGGAAGAGGGAGAGTACTTGACGGATTCTTCGAGGAGAACCAGTACGAATATTCTTCTGGCCGTTGTCACTTCTTTTCTTTTCTCCCAGTTCCTCTCTCACACACAATCTGTATGCGCCTGCTGTTCTTTGAAACCGGGACGGACAACACATGCTTACTGACTTGAGCAGGGCGCATAACATTCACACCTCCTTCACGGCACATCGCTTTCATCGGCGATTACACACTCATCTCCAATTTTGGTGGTACGTTGATTGTACTTTCTTCATTATCACATTGTCCTTGGCCTCTCTAGCACTCGTACTCTTCCCCGTGCCTCCCGAATGTGCAACCATTCATCCCTCGGTGCCCCCTCCCCTTCACTATGCCCACGTCAATATGTCTCTTTCCTCTCATCTGCGGGCCCTCGCGTCATCCTTAGGGTGGAGGGTCTTCACTCCCTCATCCTCTGACGGACGTTACGCTGTCTCGATTGTTGTACTTCGCACAGAGAAGCGCATCGGCGCACCAAACCTTCTATGCCTTCTCGAAGCACCCCTTCGGCGGCACATCGATGCAGCAGCAGCGCATTGGAAGGGTTTCTCACGCCAGCCACTGCCAACTACATCGACGTGCACTCCCAGTGGAATGTATGTTGTTGCGAAGCGCTCAGTGAGCTTGGCTTGGCTAGTGGCAGCGACACACGACAGCGCCTGTACAGGCACCCCTTCCCCTCCACCGGTGCAAGCACGGGCTCTGTCACCGCAGCTCGGACTGTCTTTTGGCTCTGCGCCGCCACCATAACCGCATCAAGGGGAAGTGTCGCCGCGTAGGTTGGCATGGTGGGCCTTGTCTCTGCATATTCCGTCATGCATGCGAGGTCTGCCAGCGCATCAAGTGGTGGCCCGAGACGCCAGGAGAGGAACATGAACCCCACCCCATCTGCTTGTCTTCGTCGCATCATCCCGAGCTCTGGCTTATATACAGGAGAACTAACATTCTTGGTTGGACAGATCTAACGACGCGAAGTGGAAAAGGATTAACGGTCTCTATTTTCTGGAGAACTTGAGGCACCGACCTATTTCGTCCAAAAGAACAAGGACAAGCCAACTCTTGCCCTACCCGCTCCCGCTGTGCAGCCGGTAGACCAGCCCAGGACCAGCCCGGACCAAGAAGCCCTTGATCGGCTAGAAGCAACAGAATCGACGCCGCCTCGCCTCCGCCTTGTACGGTAGCAGCCTCGACATACCTGCCCGCCTCTGTCGAACCCACACACTCTCGCCGCCCTCACGTGGCTGTCATTCTGACCCAAGGCTTAGCCACCCACCTCGTCCGCCCCGCGACTACATCAGCCCGCATATGCCGTGGTCGGCCACTTGCGTCGCGCACCACTGCCAGCTCATCCACGCATCACCAATAGATTGAGCCCCTCCGCTCCCAATACACTGGAAAAAGGGCCCTAGGACACCGCCGGCTCCCAATCCGTGTGCCCAACTCTACCCAAGCAGACGGGCCGTCCCAGTCATTTTAAAGCTCACTCCTCACGAGAAAGGCAGCTTTCGTCGCAACTCATTCGTCACTCGCGACCCATAGCCGTGATACCCTTTTATCCTTCCCACGGTCACGTTTTTTCAACCGCGCCAAAACCGCTGTCAAGCTACACGGCTTAGCTGGCATCTCATTGGTTCCGATCCTTTCCGCGACGAAGACAATTGCATTCATTGCACAGCTTGGTCACCCCTCGAACAAGCTTAACCCCAGTATGATGGAATACGCACAATATCCTCAACAACCTCAAAACGCCCATTCCGGATACACCAACTCCACCACAGGAAATAACATCACCTCTCCTCACGGCGTACAGACGTCACCCATCCTGTCTCAACAGCAATCACCCTCTCAACAACAGGGACACAACATGTACCAACCACAGTACAACGTCCCCCAGCAGGGAATGCATTATGGTATGCCTCAAATCCAAGCCGCCGCCATGGCGGCAACTGCAGCTGCCTCGGGATCCAACTATCCTTACATGCAGTCGGATCCCAGTTTGCCCCAGACCTCGCCGCGAATGGGCGGAGCGAAGAAGGAGAGTCGCGATCCTCGATCGCCCACCCAGATGAACAACGTTTCGCAGCTACCGGGCCAGAGACGCCTCAGCCAAGTCACCAGCCCCGGCGTCCCTACGGCACAGGGCATGATGAACCACGTCGGCGCGCGAGCTGGCGTTGCGCCGCCGCAAATGGCTCAGGCTCAAGCCATGCCTCACCCGCAATCGCCCGAGATGCCCGCTGGTGGTGTAGAGGAATCGCCCCTTTACGTCAATGCTAAGCAGTTTCATCGCATCCTCAAGCGTCGTGTCGCACGTCAAAAGTTGGAGGAGCAGCTGCGCCTTACTTCCAAGGGCCGTAAGCCATACCTTCACGAGTCAAGACACAACCATGCTATGCGCCGACCTCGTGGACCCGGAGGCCGTTTCCTCACTGCCGAGGAGGTTGCCGCCATCGAGCGTGAGAAAGGCGGTGGCTCCGGCGAGGGTCCCGAGGATGTTGTCGAGTCCAAGGCAGGCTCCAAGAGAAAATCGGAGGCCGACGACGCCAGCTCGAGCAAGAAGGCCAAGAAGGCATCCGAGACTCCTGAAGAGGATGAGCAGGAGGATGACGAGTCCTGATCCGCAGCCATACAATTTGTTGTTGTTTTGTCGCACATTCCGATGACGAAGTCACGACCGCCTGCAAAGACGACTTGCAGCCATCTCCACTCTTTCGAATTGGGGCTACAAAGGAGAGAAGGGAACTTGTACGGGACTTGTCTATAGGGGCTGGATTTTTCCAGATGTCTTTATACGCAGCATGCGGGCCGGTACACAGGACTCTCGTTGCTCTCTGGCTGCCAGGTCTAGCCGATGCCATTCCGGTCGACATTGGCTTTTTTTTATCGCGTCTCTTTTTTTTTCGTTTTCACGGCTAATACACATTATCGACTGGCAACAGCATGGCGCCCGTTTAGACGGGTGGCCGCAAGGGAAATGGGAGGGAAGAATGCATGGACGACTCGAAACGACGGATACCCCTCTTGTGTTTACTCGATTACCCCCTTCTCCTTGTTGTTTTTGTTTTCACTTCACTTCGTGTTACATTTCATTTCCTGGACGAGGGATTCTTCTTGAGGAATGGTCGGTAGTGTAGGAATTGGGCAGATGGTCTGGCTACCAACGGCTTCCTTTTTTTTATTTTATATTTCGTGATTCAGCAGGGAGTTGAAACGAAGAGAAAAGAAAAACCCAAAACGAAAAGCGGCCAGCCATTGGTGTGCCGCGAGTTTGATGTACGGGAACAAGAGAATGATTGAAGATGATATTTACGCTTATATTTATCTGCTTCACCATTTCCTACTTGCTGGATTGATGGAGATAGACTGGGTTTCCTGGCAAAATCCGTCGCCGGATTCGTATGTATGGAGAGAAACACGGATTTTACGACCTTTACTTTTTGAACAATTTATACCTTTTAGTCTTGTTACTGCAAATACGTGCCATTCAGGGTGACCAGGAGGATGTTGTCCGCGATTCATATTAACAATCTATGTGAAGGAGCGATTCGAACTGGGATGGACTTCTATCCAAAGTACCCACAAGATGGATCATTCAGGACAGGAATGAGGCGTTTGAGCCAGCAAATAAAGGGGCTGAGGCGACGGATCCTCGATCACGGCCATGCATGAAGGGACGGAATGGCTGGCTTCCACAACTCAGATTGGATCTCTGACTCGGTCGGGTGCGGCTATCGAGGCCCGCCTCCACCTCCGCATTCTGCTGCATCCAAGGACTAACTGTGAAGGAGACCCTGGGCTGGGTCGGGTGCAGGTTCCCCAAGTGCGTCCGTCTCCCCCGCTCTGGAGACTGGCAGTCCTAAAGCTAAGACAGCTCTGCAGCTCCTTAGGCCGGTGGACCTCGGCATCTTTGTGCTGGTTGGGGCAACTTGGGGGAATCAATCAGATTGCTCTCCCGGCCGCCCACCTTGTATGGAGTTTTGGATAGCATTCCAGGCCCCGGCTCACCCCCGCGTGCCCGCTAAAACGTCACTGGGGGACGAACCGAGGCTGGCAAAGGTCCGAACCAGAGATGCGCCGGCCAGCCTAGGTGGTACCTTAATACTGTACCCCGGAATCACCTCTCTCCGACCGAGAACTTTGACGGCAGCGGCGGACCTGGAACGACATCGACCGACTACATATCTTCCTCGGCAGCCGGTTCAGTCCGAAAAGTATCCCTGCGAATTGAAAACCTGTACTATTTCAGCCAATTGCGACTACAATCCGCGATACTCGACTGGAAACCAGCAGCGGAGACGACCCTTGAGCTCAGTAACCAGTCTTTCCGCACACCAAGGACGGCACAGGACAAGATGGCAGGACGCGTGCGACACCCAATCGACCAGCAGGCGCTGGAACGATATATCGAGAAGAATGTACCGCAGATCAAGACGCCATTGGAGATCAAACAGGTACGTCTACGGCCCGCCTTCTGTACCACAATTGCCTCTTCATTGCCTTGTTCTCTTCCCTTTGCCCATGGCTAGAAAATAGGTCCTCTTCTCGACTGACATGAACCTTTTTCCACGCATGACAGTTTGGCTTTGGCCAGTCAAACCCGACATACCAACTCACCGACGCGACGAACAAGCGCTTCGTGATGCGCAAGAAACCCCCCGGAAAGCTCCTCTCCAAGGCCGCGCACAAGGTGGAGCGCGAGCACCGCATAATTCACGCCCTCGAGCCCACCGACGTGCCGGTCCCCAAGGCCTACTGCCTTTGCGAGGACGAGTCGGTCGTCGGCACCGCGTTTTACATAATGGAGTTCCTCGACGGGCGCATCCTCGAGGACCCGGCCATGCCCGAGGTGTCGTCGCCCGAGGAGCGCAAGGCGCTGTGGAAGGCGGCGACGCTGACGCTGGCGAAGCTGCATAGGGTCGCGCCCGAGGACGTCGGGTTGCAGACGTTTGGGAAGAAGAGCGGCTTCTACGATCGGCAGATTCAGACGTGGACTACGATTTGCAAGAGCCAGGCGGCGGCGGTGGATCTGGAGACGGGGGAAAAGGTTGGGGATTTGCCGCATTTTGGGGAGATGGTTGCGTTTTTTAGTGATAAGAGTCGGCAGCCTAAGGACCGAGGCACCTTGATTCATGGAGATTATAAGATTGATAATCTCGTTTTTCACAAGACGGAGCCGAGGGTCATTGGCATCTTGGAGTACGTTCCCCTTCCCCAACCCCTCCATTTTCTCTTCTTTCCTCCTCAGTTCTGGTTATGGAACCCGTGATGAGAACTGACATCAAACCTTTTAGCTGGGAAATGTCCACCGTAGGCCACCCCCTCTCCGACCTCTGCAACTTCCTCCACCCCTACTTCACCGCCTCGCGCGCGGGAAGCGGCCTCTACGCCAACGACGGCTTCCTCCCCGGCGCTACCCCGGGTCTGCCGACGATCGAGGAGATTGTCGGGTGGTACACGGCCGAGGCGGCGCAGGCTCCTGCGGGTTCCCCCGTGGGCGGCGGGTGGACGCCCGCGACGGAGCTGTCGTGGGGTGCGGCGTTTAGTCTGTTCCGGCTGGCGGGCGTGTGTCAGGGCATCGCGGCAAGGGCGGCGCAGGGCCAGGCGAGCAGTGAGCAGGCAAAGAGGTTTGCTGTTACGAGGGGGCCGTTGGCGGAGTTTGCTTGGGAGCTCGTTGGGAGGAGTCAGGCTGAGAGTGGGGGGAAGGCGAAGTTGTGAGGAGGGGTTGGGCTGGTGTAAGCAAGTAGCGGTTGGTAGATTTAAATCATGCATGAGATTAGGTGATGTTGTGATGTGGTGTTTGCACCGCAAGTGCTTTAGATATGTATTGTGCTAGATGGTATGTCGTAAGGCAGGGTGAGTAAATAGGCCATATGACTGAAAGTCTAAGTTGACCAAGCTCATTGCATTCTGGGCTTTCTCATATGCGCGTTTGTTGACAAGCTCACTTCAGCCTAGGAGGCAGAGAAGGCAGTTTCTCCCTGATCATACATGGCGGGAAGACAACGGTGTTGGGTTTTAGGAGCCTAGGGAGTGTGAAGGCAGGTGGTACGTCTGTCTCCCACGACGCCAGAGACTTTACTGTACATGCCGTTTTCTTGAGACATGGAGCTTATAGGCTATGATTGTTGTACTAATACTACTGATACTTAACTTAACGTTTCTAGGTGCGACCCAGAAAAATCCAAAAGCATTGCCTCTGATCACGTCAACACTAGAGTCTCTAGTTCGACACCTCTTTGCTGTATAGCATCTACCGACATCCTTGGATCATTAACACTAATACGTCCGTCATTCTTGTTCTTGAAAACAAAGGGCGGCAAAAAAGGATCGAGCGACGCCACCTCTTCCCAGTCAAGAGGCAGTAGTCCGAGCCTCGCATCACTCTTTCTAAGCTCACCCGTCTCAGTGTTGATAAAATACGGCATCGCCCAACCTTTGGTGACGGGAAGCGCATCTCTCCACGGCGGCTCCAAAGGCGGTTTCAACGCCTCGCCGAGCATCAGCCCATGAACGAAACACGGTCCAACGACCTTGTATTGTCCGGCATCTCCAGGCCGTAGAATCATTGGGAAGTCGCATCCAAGAAGCACGGCAACTTGATCACCTAGTTCTAGAGGTTAACCCAATACGATCGCAAGCGATTGGCTACCTTGTAGGTAGGTCTTGAGATGGAGGAGACTCGCCTTCTTCTAGGCCTCTCGCAGAGACACCCATGTACCCTTCCGTGGTCGCAAAGAGACATTCGTTCGCAAAGAAGCAATCTTTGAATGCCCGTGCTACGTCACCATCAAGTTCAGCGTCGGACAATGCCGACGTTAACAGCTCACGAAGCCGTCGGATGGATGGAAGCGGATTATCGCCCAGAGCTCTGTCGCTAGTCCTGCCGCGCACAAGTACTTCGACATAGGCATCCATAGAAAGTCCTCCCGAGACGTACATGTCGTTTTGTGGATCTTTAGGTGCCCAATCTCGGACCACTTCCTTGAGTTGTACGAATGTGCCATTCAAGTCGTCGCTGACACGACTGATGGTGGCCACACGTCTCCCGGTGACTTGTAGATGGTAAGCCGGTTCGATGAGCTTCACCACAGCATTGGAGCGTGCAGAAGCATAGAATCTTCGAATGCTCAAGTACCCTATATTGGCACCTTCTACTGGTTTCTCCAGGTTTGGTACCCACGATGGGCATCCTTCAGGACGCGTCGCTATGCCGCAGTTATTGATCATGTTCAATTTCTGGTAGACATCGTTTTCAGCTAAAACGAGCTGTGCAAATGTCTTCCAAGAGGGGAAAGAATAGTCCACCTCGATCTTGGCAACGATTCTAGGATCCATTAGGCCCAAAATTCCGTATACCTTGTCTCGAGGGTCTGAGCATTGCTGATTCCGCGTCCAAAGTAACAGATGCTCACATGAAGCGAGCGGCGGTGCCATCAAGCCTCGTGCATAGGGGAAGAGACGACGCCTAATGTCCTCTGGCAGCAGGCTTGAGTTTTGTCGGAGTACCAGTAATGCCTTGCGTACATCGACCCAGGCAATGGCGTCCCGGCCGCATTGGAGCATCACTCGATCGCACAAAAGAGCTTCTTGTAGAACCCAGACACGCTCGAACCATGGTCGATGGAGTAGCGAAGATATGGATTTCCAAGTCCTGTCCTTCCAGGGCAGCGGAACGTCGTCTCGCCACCAATCAAGCTGCTCGGCGTTGGGAGCAACCCCTCGGGAGGACCAGAGTTTCGACTCGTGGCAGGACTTTCTCTACTATGAGCGTAAGCGACGGCAAGCCGAAGCTTCTGGCGAGAAAGTCTATGCGGGGATTGATGGCATAATTGTCTGCACCCAAGAGCAAACTCACAAAGAGATTCTGCAAGCGTTCGGACCACTCAAACTTCATGTCTTGAGCGAGAAGCCGATTGCAACATCTCTACAGGACTGCCAGGACATATACGTCAGCCTCGGTGGAGCAAACCCTGAAACGGTTTTCTCAACCGGTCATGTCCTACGATATAGCCCTCACAACATGCTTTTGAGGAAACTCCTTTTAGAAGACAGGGTGATCGGAGAGGTCATATCTGTGGAGCATACGGAGCCAGTTGGCTGGTTCCATTTCTCACACTCGTACGTGCGAGGCAACTAGCGAAAAGAATCAGTTGCGGCGCCAACACTCCTTTGTAAGGCTTGCCATGATATCGACTTTTTACTGTGGCTGCTCAGCTACAGAACGGATTCTGGTCGACCAGCCCATATGCCCAGCCTGATTACCTCAGTTGGCAACCTATCGCTCTTTACCGAGCGTCGGAAACCCAAGGCAGCGGGAAAAGCAACACACTGCTTCTCTTGTCCTCACGAACAGTGCTGCGATTGGAGTGCTAAGAAGCTGTACCTCAAAAAGCTCTATGACAAGGGAGAACGAGATTGGCCTATTTGTGTCGTCGTCCCTGACATAGAAGATATAACAGCTACATCGGGGACAGATCATGGGCGTGCCGTCTTGGAAGAGGTTCTCTCTGCAGACTACGACGCCTCTACACCAGGAGACATCATCGAGTCTAATCAGTGGTATGGTCGTTGTATCTGGGAGTCAGATAATGATGTCCTTGACGATCAAGTTGTCACCCTGACCTGGGAAGACGACTCAGGTGCTGTGAGCAACGAGGAATTCCCCGACCGCGGTCCTAAGACGGCAATCTTCCATATGGCGGCATTCACCGAAGTCCAGTCCAAGCGGCGAGGCAAGATCTCGGGCACCCATGGAGAGATACAGTACGACAGTAACGAGATCCGAGTCTACACTTTTGATAGATTTCGGGACCCGGGGGCAGCCGAAGTCTTCATCCCGCCAACAGCTGGCGGCCATGAAGGTGGCGATGGCGGTCTTATGAACAACTTCTCTCGGGCTGTGGAGGCTGTCGTCAATGGTGAACTCAGCGTGGAGCAGGCGCAAGCGAGACATGTTGGCTGTACGTTGAAGGAAGCATTCATAAGCCATGCCATGGTCTTTGCTGCGGAAGAAGCTTGACTTGGGAGGAAAATTGTGGATTGGCAAGATTGGTGGGCAAGATTGGAAGGAAATCTCTCTGACCAGTGAGGTTGAGCCGAACGGAATATTATCCACCTTGGGGCAAATGCGAGCTTGCCGTCAAGTTGATTTCATGTCCATAAGCCCAGTATACTAGCATTCTCCAGCCACAACGCATGATGGAAACTTGAATCTTCAAGGCTAGCAACTGAGAGACTCTTTCCCTATCTCGCAACTATCCAGTAGATGCTAGAATGGCATGTATCTAAGTAAGTAGGTATCTGATTTTGATATTACCATCAGGGTCCCGGAGATTTATCAAGCAAGGCGCAGCTACTTCAGAATGATACAATAATGTATCGCCGCGGCCATTGAGCAGCCTAAGGTGCTTGCTGCTTCTCGCATCGCAAGTTGCAAGTGACTTGGGATAATCTACCTATGTGTTACTTACGTTGCTTATTGCTGCTCTCTACTGTCAAATGGAAGTACTGCACACTCGACGGAGGTAGGCTCGTGGAACAGCAAACTGGCAAAGAACTCTTCACTCCCTATCGCCAATAGAATTGAAGCTTTCGTTGAAACACAACACCGAAGAAGTTCAACTATCTGTAGGTTCTCAATTCACGACGCTCAGTTGTGATTAAGTGAATTACAGATTCGCGCCTGTCAGAACTAAGTACATGAACAAGACCTCTATTCTTATGCCTTTACTCGGTTTATCCAACATAGTCACGGTAACTCAAGCCTTACCTCGCGTGACTAATCCTATCTCTGGCAACTTAAGAGGACAGAGGCATATGCCAAATGGGAAATAAAATTCATCCCATCGGGCCATTCGTACACAACTCCTTCTGTCTCTGGTCAGAAATGGCGAGCACCAAACGTTGTTTCTGGTCCGTGGATAATTCGGGCTACGATCATCCATGCACGGGACCTCGGCGACACCTGCAAGCTCGAAGCGTGACTGCATTGACTCTCGACTTTTTTTGCTCAGAGCGAATCCCGGATTAGGCATGCGAAGCTTGTAAAACGCATTTTCTCCTTACCATTGTTTGATGCGCAGGATGCTGCCACCATTTCTATTAGAGTGTGCGGCAGTGGCATCAGAGGTGGTGAGGTTGAACAGTCTCAATCGTGACAGGCATGTTCATCTCTCCATCGGCTTGACAAAGTCTATGGTCAGCTTCGATACGAAGGCCTCGAGATTTTAGCACTTTACGTATGCCAAGAGAAATGAGCCGTTGGCCCGAGGGAGACGAGAGCACCGGAGTAAAAGGAGGGATCGCGAGGAGTGCACTTAATAATAGCCCGCATCGTCCACGTGCTGCACTAACAGCAAGAGAAGCTAGTATGCAGGAGCGACAGGAATTATGGAGTCACCAGTTACGCGAAAGTCCTCATGCCTCACAGAAAGCATCCCCATAGTCTTTCTTGAACCAGTCCACATAAGATAATTGGATGTGGAAACCCTCTCATTTCCAAGGGGGAGCAAGCGAGAGTTTTTAGCATTCCAACTCGTTAGACAGTGAACTGCTACGCTATGCGGATATTCTTGGTTTTTGAGTGTGCCGGCCCGTAGTATTTAAACCTCTATCCCAGTCAGAGCCGTTGAACTCTGTCTCCCCGTTAAGTTATCGACTGGCAAAGACAGCGGGACATTCCTCTTCTCAATCGTCGGATGGGTCAAACAGTGGCCCGGTGCTCGTTTCAAAGTCGTGCGATGACGACGGTTGTGGGTGGTAGTGGTGCTGGACCCAGCGTTTCCCATTTGCCCGAGCAACCCTGAAGCGACCATGAAATGCGAGTTCGCTTCGCTTGTAGCTTGGTAACGCTTAGTTAAGTTACTGCTTGAGAAGGACGAAATGCCCTGGAACGGGCCTCTCTGACATGCTCCAACAAGAGTGGCATTAGGCCGATTGACTCCCCCCACCTCAATATGGCAGCTCCCGCTTCAATTTATTGCTTTCCCCTAACTCAACTCTGTTGCTGTACCTTAATCCCGAAGCATGTCTCGAAGCCCGGAAACTGCAGGAAATCCCTTGGAGATCTTACTCTTCGGCCTGGTCTCCGGGGCTGACAAAGCTTGTGCAGAGTAGTGTCAGGGCAGACCTCCCGACGCCAATCCCGGATCGACAATCGACAGGACACCCAACTTCACCTAGCCTCGAGGCTCCCACCCAGACTGCAACGATAAGAGAAGGGAGAAGTGGTCCGGCAACCGAACGTGATTGTTTCCGAAGACAAGAATTATCGTGGACCATCATCAGGTCTAAATACCCCCTCACTCATCATCTCGAGCGCTCAAGCCTGAAGCGTCGCCGCAAGAAGAACCTGTCATTGGACTCCCGTGCGTTACGAATTCGTCTCAGAGTGCGGGCCCGTCTGAACTTTTCTTTCTTTCGGGCGGGAACACAAAGCTGCCATCGGAGGTTCACCGCCGCGACACCTTCTGGACCGTCACGATGGAGGGAAGAAAGGGGGGAAACGATGGAGATGGATCCAGGCTGTGCTTCAACTGTTCTCAATTGCGACTGGTAATGATCCCTCTCCTTCTCATCCACTCTCTCGTGGGCGCAGCGTTATAACCCATTATGGCCCATCCTCAAAAGGCATGAAACGCGGTTGCAGCCCCGTCTTCGTCTGGACTCCCAGCTCAACATCTGCCCATAATCGATGCATCCCCGGCCGACATGACGGGATGGTCGCCCCCCTTGTCGCTCTCGTTGCCCTATCCGCCCCTTGACCAGTCACCAGACTTGGCTAGCAGGGACGTAGACATAGGGCGACACAGGCATGCCCCCACGGAGAAGACTCGGTCTTGGTCCTTGTCTTCGAATGGGTGACCTTGAGACTTCAGCGCAGCCTCCAAGAGTCTCCATAACCCCCTTCCAACTCCACAGAGGTCTCCATGAGTCTATAACCCGCGTAACGCCCCCGTCCCCACCTGACATCTCCACCCACGCGACGGCATCCGTTCCAGAAGATCGTCGGAGCCGCGGAGGGGATCTGTGCTAGCCCGGGGTCCCTCGCCTGCCTTACCCAGCCTGCCCAGAACCTTTGAGGAAACACGGGCAGGAAGAGCCGCAGTCTGCAGAAAGACTGGATAGTTTAGGCACAAGGCACAGGCACAACGTTCACGGTTCCTGGAAGTCTGTTGCTCTCTCGCCCATGTGGTCCACTCTGGGGGGCTCTTCCACCCCTCTTACCCCCGGTCCTGTTGCTTCTTCTCTCCCACCTGGCTCTCACTCTTGCCCATCGGCTCAACACCAGCTAAGAAGCGCTTACACAAACATGCTCTCATCTTTCCAACAAGCCCCATCGCCCATCCTCCCATCCTCAACGTCTGTGACCCCTTGTCGAAACAAGCTCTACCCTTGAAGTAACTCCTCTTGTCATCGCCAAAGGGGGTAAGACGAGAAAGAGGAAATGGGAAGCAGGCATGTATAAAACTTAATAGGCCTCGCACATCAGGTAAAACGCAGGATTCCCTGTGCTCTTCCCGTTTGTATCGCTCGCTCACACTTTCCTTGAGTTCGATCTCTTCTTGGTTTTTTCTTCCCTTCTCTTCCTTTTCACACTCCCAGCCGGTCTGTTCTTTTCTTGAGAGAGGCCATAACCAAACCTCTTTCGTTTCTTTCCCTTCCATCAACGCGGTGCTGGACACATTGTTTTTTTTTTAAACTTCCTTTCGCTACTAATCCAATTTTGACTTGTGTGTACCTTTTCTTCTCGGTCCACTTGTCTCCTCTCACAGCCATGTCTTCTCACATGATGAGAGCGTTGGCCGCCGCCGCCATGTTGGCGATGGCCCAAGCCCAAGGTGTCATTCTTGCCGCGCAAGGCCCTAACGGCCCTGCCAGTCCAGGTCTTCTAGGTATGCACTTTTATGAAATGAGATACGCAAACTTTAGAACGGAGTATTGACGAATATTTCCAGTCGATGCAAACAAGGCGGATGCAAACATCATCAACCAGAAGGAAATTGTGGATAACGTTGTCAACGAGTGCGGCCGAACCATTCTCGCGGGCAACATCGATATCGGCGAGACCACAGAGGCCCAGCTGGGCAACAACACCGTCACTAAGGTCACGAAGGGCTCCAATGTCGACGTCACCATCGCCCAGGTCAGCGCGGACGGCGCCGGCCCTTACAGTTGCGATCTCGACTTGACTAGCAACGCCAACGGTGCCACGGGTCAGACGAAGCTTCAGGTACAAGAAGCAGGGGCCCAGAGCGGACAGATCAAGCTCAAGGTCACGATGCCGGATGATTTGGCTTGCGTAGGAGGTACGTTTAATACGTGTTCCTATATGGCCTTCGCCTCAGGAACCTCTGCCTTGCTTCAAGTTTGACGATGACTAACGAACTTGCTAATAGCCTCCACCGGTGACGTCTGCACTGTCCGCTGCTTCAACGACAACGCGAAGGGTCCCTTTGGCGGCTGCTTCGCTGTTCAGCAGACCGATACGAAGCCCAAGCAGAACACCCCGGCCAACATTCCCACCGCTCAGACCCTCGACGGTGTTCTGAAGCAGGTCCAGCAGAACATTGTCGACCTCCCCGCCGCTGTCAAGTCGAACCAGGAAGCCAAGACTCAGGACGATCAGGGTGTTACCGCCATCAAGGAGCTCCTCGGCAACAACGCCACCCAAGAGGCTGCCGGCCCTGCCGGCTCCGGTGCCAACACCGGCAATAACAACAACAACAACAACAACAACAATAACGGCAACAACAACAATGGCAATGCGAACGCCGGCAATGGTAATGGAAGACAGAAGGGCAAGGGCAACCGCAATGGCAATAACAATGCCAACAACGGCGGCGCTGCGGCCGGCGGCAACGCCAACGCTGGCAACAACAATGCTAATACCGGCAACAACAACAACAACAACAACAACGCCAACACCGGAAACAACAATGCCAACACTGGAAACAACAATGCCAACACTGGAAACACCAATGCTAACACCGGCAACACGAACGCCAACACGGGCAATAACAACGCCAACGCCGGGAACAACGGAGGCAACGGACGTACCCGGGGCAAGAACAACAACGGCGGTGCCAACACCAACGCCCAGAACGGCGGCAATGCCCAGACGGTTGGCAACAACGGTAATGGCAACGCCAACGCCAATGCCAACGGAAACAACAACGCACTGCCTTTGGCAACTGTTGGAAAGGGCAACGGTAACCGCCAGAACCAGCAGAACGGCAACAACAACAAGCGTGTTGAGACACCAGATGCCGTGCTCCGCACGCGCTGGGCCAGAAGAAACCTTCGCCGCCGCGCCGACTAATTGTTACGCAAGGTGGGAGGGGCTGGGGTGGACTGAGGTCGGCAGCGAGCCGCCCACATGATCTTTCCTCCCCCTGGTTTGAGCTTCATGTTGTGTGAGCAGGCCTTTCTTGGAAGCTGTTTCTCATTTCTTCGTCGATGGGTCATTCACCATTCAAGACGGAAGAGGAGATGATATCTTAGTTGTTAGTTAGCGAAATTTTATATTGAGCCGTGTAAAGTTTATAAAATGGTAGAAATTCGGTGGTTATCTACTCCTTGGATACCATAATTATTCAGCTTCTTTGCCCAATATCTGTCCCTGGTAAGCCATATTTCACTTCCGCAAAGTATAAGCTTTGACTTATTGGTGGACAACTCTGTACATCAACTCTTAAGGATGCATTCATTGAGAAAGTCGATCCAACTCCTTTTCCCCGGTCTCACTCATGGCTCATCTCATGCACCACTGCCGATTGAGGCCAAAAACACGACAGGGATGAAGGATAAGCGAGCAAAAGGCGCGGACTGAACGTCTGACAGACCGTCGGACGTTGATAGGGCAAAGAAAGGTACTTACGTAGACCAAAGGATTTCCCCTCCTCTCTTCAAATTGAAGGTGATAGATGATCGTCCCAGTCTTCTCCCGTCATCAAAATCACTTGAAGATCTTTAATCTTGCTTTTTGCGTGTGAGTCTGAAGTGCGGGTCAATCTGCTTGATCAAGACAGTCGCGGACAAGGGGATTCCACTTGACCAGCATAGTGTGCTGCCACCTAGCAAAAGCTCATCAACTATTCACATTACCTGTCACTCGAGGTGATTTAACTTTTCGTATTTCCATTTTACAACAAAAGAACCAAGCTACGCAAACACCCAACGAAAATGACGGCCCTATTTCCCCAAGCGGCTTACAAAATCGCAACCCCGCGGCTCATCATCCGCAGCGCCGTTGCGGACGATGCAGAGGCTCTTTGCCGCCTCCTCTCGACACCCGAGAACCACCCTTTTGGAGGTGCTCAGACGAACATATCTCCCGAGATTATACGCGGTCGTATCGAGAGGTGGGGACCGGATTATGCCTCTGGGAAGAAGGCTATCTTGATGATTACGATCCGGGAGACGGGTGAGTTGATTGGATGTGGTGGGTTCAATTGCTTTGAGACTGCGGAGGGGGAGACGTGCGATGTTGCGCTGAAGAGGAAGCGGGATGAAGATGAGCAAAGAGGAGGTGAGGAGGCTGCTGGAGATGGTGTTGCTGGGGAGGCTCGTCGCCTTATTACGCCGTATCTTACCGACTTTGGGGTAGTCCTCGATCATCGTTACTGGGGCCAGGGATACGGAAGGGAGGTTTTGTGTGGCCAAGTCGAGTTTGCTGTCGATGGGCTTGGCTGTAGTATTGTACGCGTCGAGACTGAGGTTGAGAATGAGCCCTGGAGAGCGGTCATGAGATCCATTGGTTTGGGTGGGCTGGAGACAAAGGGTCCCGTTAGTTATGGCGAGAAGAATATCGGGTGGATTTACAAGATTGATCCGTCGACGTGGAGCGACTCGAGGGGGGATTTGAAGAAAAGCGGAAAGTGGCCACTGTGAAATATACTAGCCTCTATCTTACGAGTTGCTTCATATTGTTCTATACCTTGAAGAGGCAGTGTCTATATGGACGAGGTCACGCGATGCGGACTTGGTCTTTTGCCTCACGTGAAGATCCTTCATAACATGGTTCAAAGTGTTCGACAAATGTTTCATGAGTTCAATTTCACGAGCAACGAATTTAAATAGGTAATTTTCTTTGGTAGGCGGTCTAGCATTACTTTGCTTGTGGCTGATGCTCCTGCTCATTATAAAGTCATGTTGGCATCGCATCTTCACTTTCTCCCTTGCTCTTAATTATACTCCCTGAAATTACTAACTACGAATATCTCTTCTCGTCAGTTTTCAATAAAGTAGAACTTGTCAATTAAGTCGTCAACATGCTTAACCGACTAAACTCATCTTTGCCCATGACTGGGCATGACTTAGACCCCTTCCCAAACTGTTCATCTAGTACCAAGTGCACCACTGCCCCGCCTATTGCATACCGTCGCAAACCTGTCTCATTTTAGCTTCTCATCGTCTAGGAGAGAATATGCCGGTAGTGGAAACTCCGAATCGTCATTATTCGTATCATCAAAGAACCTCTTAGCCACCCAAGGTATTGCAACAACTCTGGACATCGTCGACACGACCGTTCCCAGCAACCATCTCTGCCATGCCGAGACCGGATGTGCGACTCCTGGGAAGAACCACGGAACGCTCTGAGTCTCCTCGACGTAGGGGCGAAAGGCAGCCTCGTAAGCTTCGAATGCCCGGGAAGGATGTTCCCCGGGTGTGAGTTTGGTGAGCTCACCAGCAAGCATGTAACCTCCAATAATGGCCAGCGTAGTCCCCATGCCTGAGAGGGGCGTCGGTGCAAATGCCGCATCTCCCAGGCAGATGACACGAGAGCTGGACCACCTTTTCATCTTGATCTGCTTCAGGTCCTGAAAGTAGTAATCTTCCGCCTGCGCCATGGCGTCCATGATCCGGGGCGTCTGCCACCCGGCGTCCAGGAACTCCCGCCTCACGAGCTCCATTTGGAGCTTCTTGTCGCCTCGTGCGGCCTCCTGCCATGCCGTCTTCTGTGCGCTGTTGCAGGGCATGTGCGTGAACATGGCCCGTATGGTGCCATGCGGGTCGGGTCTAGTGGTAATGATCTTCGATCCCAGGGCCTGGTATATATTCCACCAGTCGTTGTCCTCGGGAAGACGGGGGATGGCGGCGTAGGCGACGTACATGTTCTTGTCGATGACGGTGATGCTTTCTTGGGGGAAGACTTGCTTTCGCACCTTTGACCACTGGCCATCTGCTGCGACCAACAAGTCGTACTCTTGCACTTCTCCGTTGCTTAGCTCGACTTTGACGTTGGTGTCGTCATTGGATATGACTTTGGTGGCGGTAGTGCCGAAGAGATACTCAATGTTTGAATGGGTCTTCGTGGCTTCGTACAATACTGTAGCCAAATCCCCTCGAAGGATCTCAAATTCTGACGTAGGGCTTGCGGAAGAGCCCTGCTTGACAGGGAAAGGAGCAAAAGGGCGCCCTTTTGGATCGATGAACTGTGTTCCTTTTTCTGTTGTGTTGAAACGTCGAAGTTGGTCCATGAGGCCCATCTTCTTCAGGACAGTGATAGCGCTGTGGTTGACGTCGACGTTGTGGCCGTAGGTGGGAATTGACTTGCACTTCTCAATAACTGTGACATGCGCACCAGTCCTGGCCAGAAACCAAGCCAGCGTGGGACCGGCGATACCTGCTCCGCTAATGAGGACTTGCATTATGCTGTGAGATTCAAGAATCAACTTGGCTTATTTGAATTGATGAAGATGTCCAGATGCTTTCATATCGTTGGTTTGGCAAACGCTCCTTTTAAGTACTTTGACGTTTGCTAGTCCAAATACGTCCTAATGTGTCTGAGTCTCGAGGTAGCTGCGCCTATTGGTATACCATCTTTGGGAGAAAGTGACTTGGAAAGAGAGGATTCTGGCGTCTCAAACGCGGTTAGACGTGCTCTCAGAGATGTTCGTGTGTTCTGCCTGACGATATCACAGTCGGGTGAATCAAGCATTTGCCAAGACGTATCTCCCCGAGGGAGCTTCCGCGTGTACATGACGCTAGGTTTGGCGCCTGAATCCTGATGAGAGCTGTGCCGTGCTAACCGCGGCGACACTATCCGCATTGAGCATATTCGCGTCATCGTCTGGAACGCCATGCATACTTAAAAAGACATTGGCTAGCAGCGCATGGCTGACTTGAGCGATCAAATAAAGTCAATCGGCTGGACTACGGGTCGATTCCCCGGAATGACCCCGAAGTGGGGGTTCTCTCCGGATTGCGGCCTTCGGAAGATCTGCTCGACTCCGCACCGGAGACAGGCCGGCACGGCTTTGCGAGGTGGTAGGGGAGTACTCTCTCCATAACGATCGCCGATACATCGTAACGTTGTTCTTTGAGACACACCATGTTGTATGAGAAGTGAAAGTGGAGCAAAATTGAAGCTACATTTGCCCTCATCCTGGATCCACACATGAACATATGAAGCAATCATCCCCGCCCTGGAACCTCCATTCATAGGTACACATAGCAGAATGGACCTGCAACAGTGCTCATAGCATCCCGAATGCTGAGGGACTCGCCGACCCAGCCATACTGAAGCACATCATCCATCGTTGTGTTGGCACTAGGGGGCTGGTCCAGGAATGTGTTGGTTCCGCCGAGAGCAGTAACGCCATATTGACGCTCCGGAGGTGAGAGCATCTGCCACATCCACCATACGCGATCAATCATCGAGTGATGGAGATAGAAAACAGGATCCCCTGGGGAAGTGAAAACGTCTATTCATATGAGTCAGAAATTAGCACCGCTCAGCATGCTGGAAGTTGGTGTATCTGACCTCTTCCGGGATCTCCTCCAAGGGAGTAGTGACCGCCACCGTGAATACCTATCGAGAAAGTATTGTCAGCATTTGTACGGCCTGCATTGGAGATGTATCGAAACTCATCAAGCTTACCAATATTACCAGAGCCTGGCACACCCTGCATTTGCATCTGGAAGTCGTACACATTCTGAGGCTGAAGAATATTGGACAGCACAGCAGTCACATTGGCGTACAAGAGGTTAACCTCAGTTGTCAAATCGCGCTTGAGACAGCGGGGGTTATATGTCAAGGGCCCATTAGGATTAGCCTCGGAAATACCTCCGGGCAGGTCAAGAGCAGCGGGGCCAAGATTGACTGTCATATTCTTGAAGGGCCCAGAGTTTACGCAGCCTCCGCCTGTACCGACTGGAAGTTCGATGATCGGCAGACCATTCTGACCGCCGAGACGGATTGGCTCTCGGCCCGGGATGAAATCACCATTTCCAGACATGGAGGTCTCGCTCCCGTCGAAGATAGGAGAGGTCTCCAAGCCTGTGATCGCGGTCTTGGACCAGTCCCAGTACTATTGTGTGAGGTTAGTATTAAGTAAGAATACTGACGTTATCATGAGTTGAAATCCTCACGGGTTGAGTGCCCTTGTAATTACACTCTTTGCGCAGAGCCTCTTCATACTGCCATGTGAAATATCGATGCCAGGATAGGAAGTTACCCTGCTACGGTCAGTTATCTTGTCAATGTTTTGTCATCTCATGACACTTACGGTATAGTGTATGGTGAGAGTTTGATTGATGTGAGTTGCGACAAAGTCATCGAACCTAGTTCTAGCCCCAGAGGACTCTGAAGCGGGTGTGCGAGCCGGCCTGGACTGAAGACACTTTACGGCATTGATGTAGTCAAGCTTCTCAACTCTGCTCAGTGTGCCCCTACGAAAGTGCAATGTAAGCAGGATGAACGAGAAGGATGAAGCTTCAACGATGGCATGGAAGAACATACCACTCCTTCCGAACACGAACATTATGCCAAGAGCAAGCGCTGCTGCGCTTCTTGGTCTCACTGCCCTCGACCTCTGCCTTAGTCTTATCAAAAGCAGTCTGAGCCAAGCTGGCGAGCTGTTGGAGCCTCTCCGTAGTTGCATGATCTATGTCGGACTCTGCTGAGCGAACAACTGAACTGGCCAAACCGAGTGCGCTGGCTTGCAGGGCAAGAAGGCCCAGGTCCAAGAGACGCATATCGAAAAAAGGGCAATCGATGCGATCAGCGAACCTGACAAGTCAATAAACAAGAGCTCAGCCTCGCTATACAGCAGAAAGAGGAGAAAAAAAAGTGCAGTGAGATGCGGACATCCGTAAAGATATGTGCGAGTCCGACATGACTGCCCTGCCTCGCCCACGATATCGAAACGGCCCTCCTAAAAGGGCTCACGGCGACGCTTCTGACTATGGACGTAAAAGGGGCGTTCGACTCCGTCCTTCGGAACCGGCTCGTCATTAGACTGCGTCAGCAGGGATGGCCACACGGCTTGATTAGACTCATCTTCAGCTTCTGCTGCAACCGCATCGCCAGAGTCCGACTGGAAGAAAGCACGACGGAATACTTTCCTCTGTCATGCGGGCTGCCTCAGGGGTCGCCACTATCTCCCATCGTCTTTCTGCTCTACATCGCGGAGATCCTTGAAGACGACCCGGACGCGCGATTCGGGTACGCGGACGACATCGCCACTCTGGCCATCAGCCCCTCCCTGGAGAGCAACGTCGCAATACTCAACCGAAGCGCAGCCGGCATTCTCAGATGGGGCTCGGAGAACAAGGTCTCCTTCGACCCGAGCAAGTGCGAGGTCATCCACTTTACTAGGAAGCACAGCCAGCCAGCGGAGCTGCCAGAGGTCAGGGCGGGGGATTTGGTGGTCAAGGCCTCGACAAATCCTGTACGCTGGCTGGGTGTCTGGTTCGACAAGAGACTGTCCTTCCGGCACCACGTCGACACAAGAGTAGCTGCGGCAAAGAAGGCAGCTCAACACCTGAGGCAGCTTACAAACACAAAGAGAGGACTGCCAGCGGCCGCCGTGCGAAAAGCCGTCGTCTCCTACGTACTGCCGATCGCGCTCTTCGGCGCCGAAACATGGTACGCAGGTATCACGAAGCCGGCTTCGAGACGCCAAGCGGAGACAGACACGAGTCCGCCTTTCCAAGGAAGACCCGTCAACACAGGCCAGAAGGGGCTCGTGCAGAAGATCGACAGCGTCATTACAGCGGCAGCAAGGATCGTTCTACCTGTCTGGAGGACAACGCCAACCAGTAGCCTCCTCCGAGACGCCGGCTTACCGTCAGCCAAAGTCGCCTTAGAAGGCGTCCGTTTACGGGCCGCAGTCCGACTACAGAGGATTGATCGCCGACACCCGCTAGTCGCGCGGCTCTCCCAGCAGGGACAGCAACAGACGAGACTACAACGGACGGCTGAACTTCTGCCAAGATGCGGAAGACCAACGTTCCTCCAATCACAGTACCTGCCAAGCTCACAGGATCAGATAGTAGTTCAATGCAAAGAAGAGGCTGCGAAAGCTTTCGAGCGCTGGCTAAAGACAGTACCGGAAAGCCATATGATCGTCTTCTCGGACGGCTCCAGGGCGACGAACGGAGCCGTGGGGTACGGCTTCGTCATCTACCGAGACTCCAAACGCATAGCGCAAGGGTGCGGCCGACTCGGACTAGCAGAAGTGTTCGACGCCGAGGTCGAAGGGGCGCGAACCGGCCTCAGAAGGGCTCTGCTCACCAATCGCGGTCATCCAATCCACATATGTATCGACAACACCAGCGTTATACAAGGCATCCGCGGCAAGGCGCCGGACTCGTCACAAGACGCGTTCCTCGAAATCCAAGAAGCGGCCAGGATATTTGATATACGGACGCACTGGTCCCCGGGACACCAGGGCATCGAAGGAAACGAGGCCGCGGACCGGCTGGCCAAAGAAGGAACGACACTGCCGGCGCGGATGGGTCAAATGGCAACACTAGCGGGCATCAAGCGGCTTGCAAGGGAAAAATTACAAAGCCAGCACAGGAGATGGTGGTATAAAGAGCGAAGGCCGCGGTACGCGGACTTGGGGCTTGAGGCAGCTCTGTCCAGCCCTCCTGAACTGGCCTTGCCGCGGGCTACGTTACATCACCTGCTGGCGGCACGATCGGGTCACGGGGACTTCGAGCAATATCACCGACGTTTCAACCACGACGACGCTCTAATGATGTGCTCTTGTGGAGAGGCGAAAGACGTGGACCACCTGGTCTACTGTCGACTAACGCTGGCGAGGAGGCAACGGTGGCCGACCCTCCACTCTCGCAGTATGCCCGAGCCCATAGGTCCTATGGGATCTCTCGAGGCCTACTTCAAGAGATTAATCACCGACCCACGAGGCTTCGAGGCCTTTCTCCGCGTGACGGACTTCTTCCAGAAGATCTGTCTGCGGTAGCAGCATCCACACCTAGGTAGATGTGAGTGCGGACTACAAAGAACCTCCCGATTCCAAGGGACGATTTGGGAAAGAATGAAACTGGGGCACCAGCGGGAACCGGGGACAGACAGAACGCGTAGTGGCCACAAGGCATGATTTGGAGGACGATGTAAAGAGACGACGTACTGTAGAGTAGGTAGCCTTGGCTCACGGCCCTCCACGCCATATACCCTTCGGGAGGTCTGCGGTAAGGGCTCTAGCCCGGCCGCCACGGCGTTAAATACAACAACAACAACAACAACACCATCTTGGTTGGGGCGTAGTCGGGGCCCATCGTGTCATCGTCGCAAGCGAATCTCCATCTCAGCTCTTGCAGCTCGATCCACCCACCCGGCTTTAATACCCTGCTATTATGAGTAATGTTTCGTTTAATTTGTCTCTATGACGGATGGGCACTCACCTATTTGCTTGACGCAGAAGCCTAGGGCAGTCCTTGATGAAAGGAGCCATATGCCGCAGGTGGATGAAATCAATTGAGTTGTCCGGGTACAGCCACTCTGCCTCAGCATCGTCGACCAAGAATTTGACATTCGGCGGCACAAAGCCGGGTTGGATAGGGCTCAGATCAATACCATCGATTTGTGCTTCTGGATAGTTGTCGCCCACTTTCATCTCTAGTTAGCTAATGCCGTCCTATACTCAGTTGAGAACTTGAAAAGCCTCTTCACGTACTATCAATCGCCCAGATCCCAGTACCGGTACCAATATCGAGAATCTTTTGCGGGTTTTCTAGAGGCGCGCTGTGTAAATCCCCGTCGCAGATGTGAACCACCAAAGCGTGCTTCATGTCCTCGCGATCCTGTTCAGGCTCATCGTTTGGACACAAGTAACGCCCTTGCTTGAACTTGTGATAGCGGCGCTTATTTTCCCATTCATAGTCACGAACGCTCGACGACAGTGAAGTCGAGGCATTGGAGCTGCCATCGCTGCTAGTCTCGTATCCATCAGTGGATGGGTCTGGGTCTTCTTCCGCCACAATGACTGCAGCTGGCAACACTGGCGCGGCGGGTGGTGATGCGGCAGGAGTCGGCGATGCCGGTGCTACTGGTGCAGCAGCATTCCTGGTATCTTCAGTCGTCGAAACTTCAGGGTTCGCTTCCACAGCGACTGCCTCGCAGACGCGCCCCTCCGCCATGTTGTGAGTTGTGAGCTGTGGAAAAGGGTTAAGGTATAGAGTCTGTTCAGGATGTGTCGTTCAACACAAGGGATATTAAAGTGAGGGGAAATATTCTGCATGCAGAACTAACAGACATGCCTGGAACATTATCGCCCCATTTTTGTCGTTCGATAGCCTCGATTGGGTCCTCCTACGGGGGCTCACATCAGAGCAAGGATCATGACCAATGCCGTGCATCCAGCGGGCATGGGGATGACATCGAACCCACCAGACCAAATGGAGTTCGTCGGGCATACATTGTGAGAAGTTGATTGAGCAATTCGTCTTACACGTGGTAACATTTCTCTCAAAAAACAGACTTGCTATGCAAATTTCTATCAAAATTTTCAATTGAAGCTGAATGTTACGATAATTATGAAGCTGGTTTCCCGCTCGTGCCTTGAGTATCTATAGTTACTCCCCCTTTGCTCAAACTTTCATGCCCACTGCCCCCGTCATCATTTGCGACATCAATACTTGGCTCAGAATCACGTTCACTCAGTCGAGTAAAGGGGCGCTCATCCTCAGCACCGCCTCCGCCGAGCCCTTTCCGCAACGCCCCAGTCCCAGAGCCTCCTAGGTAACTGCTTCCATTTGCAGTGCTGGGCTTCGTACGGTCATTGAGTATGTATTGTCCGCCAGAGTTCTGGCCACTCCGTTTGATCGAAGATTTCAGTCTGCCGTTGAGCGCGAGGTTGAGGATCGGTTTTAGGCATGGGAGACAGGCTAGTTTTCGGCAAGTTATGTGTCAGCGGAAACCCAATGTAAATTTTTGGGCAGACCGCGAGAGGAGGGGACATACCACAGATGATAGCTGTGTTGGCTTCGACATTAGTCCAGATAATGGTGTCGATGAAATTCCAGGTAATGTCAGGTGACGTGAGGTCAACTGAAAGAATCACATTTAACCGAGCCATGGAGACGACAGTAACGCTGTTCAAACTCGTCAGCAGCTGTTGTTTCTCCTGAAGATATTGCAGATTGCTGATTCAAGGTACTCACAAAGTACCGAGCGCAAAAATGCCTGCCAGGGCAAACTTTTGGGCTTTGTGCAGCTGTAGCTTCCACACATATGGGATGGGTAGCAACACAACTAGCGCATCCGTTATGATATTGGGAATTGAGTTTCCCTTGAAGAACATCTTGACATCTACACCGCATGTGTATTGATCAGACGACAGGGGGTTGACTGTGTCGTAGCGCGCCCAGAAGGCATGAACAGGGAGACATTGGAAAATCGTAACGAGGATCTGCGATCTTTGTCAGTGAAGTTCCCAGAGATCTCCAGACACCGAGACTGAATTCGGAGTCGAGGTCTTTCAACATACAACAGCAATGAACCAAGCTAAGACGATACCGGCCATAGCCCAGATGTAATATCTAATGCTTTTACGGGCATTGAATATTCGCCAGTAGAGAGCCAATGTCGACCACTTGACTGTTGATAAAGTCACTGTGTACGCTACTTCTGATACGAAAAGACCAATTGCCCACGCTCTTGTCGCCGAAGTTGGCGCTACCCAGATATGTTTACCGGTACCATTCGGTATCACTACAAGACAATCAGATTATCAGTACTGGTCTGTAGTCAAGTTCAGGCTCTTGATAATTGAACTGTGGTTTTGGGCTTCATAGAGTTGACTTACTGTATCCTACGCTTATGAAAACGTGCACAGCTGCTGCGGTCTAAAATTGAATCGTCAGCGAACATGTATTGTCCCTGTGCACTTGATCGTAAAACAGGAATTGAAAATTCAAAACAGCACGTGTTTTCGTTGCATACCAGGGAAACAGTGATCAGCCAGTCCTCCAACCAAAGCTTATTGGATTGTATTCGTCGGGCAAGAAACCGAAGCGCAACTGCGATGGCTGCGAGTGCCCACGTGCAACTGAGAGCACCAATGATGCTGGCAACTCTGGACTCGCTGAGATCTATGCCATCCGGAACTGGCAGAGAGGCCATCTTACCTCCGGCTCTGCGAAGAATTCCGTGTCTGGGCTGGAAAAGAAAGAACAGACATCTGTCAGGTTAGACTTTCAGACATTTTTTTGGGTGCCCGAGCCAGACAATGGCCATGTTTATGTGTGACCAGCCGGAAACCGAGACTTGCCGTTCCATGCTGGCCAATAAGTCGGTTCGATTCATAACAGTAAGATGCAACAGAACCAGGCTCTTGGCCCTGGTTCATGCGCCCGGAAACTGGGGCCGCCAGGTACAAAATCGAGATTGATTTCTCCACGATCCGGGCACAACCTGGGACCACCGATTACCTATTACACCATCCGTTGGAACATTAACCCACCGGTCCACATAACGACTGGTTGGCGTTCGTCTCACTCGTCAAGTATCACCAATTGGACTTGAAGGGAATTGTAACAAGGACCCTAAGTGTTGGCCGTAGTGTGAAAAAATGGCATGTTTTGGGCTGCCCTGGAAATGTCACTGTAGCCTGCTTGAGTCGTGCGATATCCACTCCAAGTCACCAACCAACACAACCAAGCTAAGACTTACCAGGTGCCCTAGCTCAATTCCCACGAAATAGGGCCCATCTGGACGTAAATGCGCCCCATTATCGCCGGTCTCTGGTTCATATCCCGCATGCTGAAGGAAGAAACAGGGGATGAACACCTTCCAAATTCAATTCCCGGCGCAATGAAATAATAAGTAACATGGTGTCCCCCTGATCAAGGTCTCTTACCCGGTCAAGCTTCCTCATCTCAGTTCTCACTCTCACTCACCACCAAGTTCAGCCGGATCCTCTTCACCCTAGATCAACTTCGAGAGACCGCAACCATTATCGACGCAATGAGTTCTCGTACGCCTCCAACTTTCCTTCTGGTACCGGGCGCCTGGCATCGTCCATGGTCTTTCGACCTTTTGCGCGATGACCTCCACGGCCGGGGGTTCAGTACTGAAACGGTTACACTGGCCGGCGTGGGTAGCACCGATGCGAACGTGGGATTGGAACAAGACACGGCAGCCGTCCGCACCGAGCTGCAGAAACTCGTCGACGACGGGCGTGAGGTTGTCGTGGTTGCGCATTCTTATGGCGGCGTCCCTACTGCGAACGCGGTAGAGGGCTTCAACTACAAGGCTCGAGTTGCGCAGAGCAAGACGGGCGGTGTTCTCATGGTCGTGTACATGGCCTCTTTTGCCATTGGTGCCGGGTCAGCTCTTTCCGACGGCGCGGGCTCAGTGCCCTGGTGGGACGTCAAGGTGGGACAACCCTCACATGCAGGTTCCGGAAAGTTAAAGACACTAGCTCATCACTCTTACCTTGTAGGACGGCTTCATCTCACCTCTCTATCCGATCTCCGTATTTTATGCCGATGTCGAGCCCGGCCTCGCTACCAAGGCCGTCGAGGCCCTACGTCCACAGCCTTTCAAGACCTTCCAAGACAAATCAGGCTTCGAACCTTGGAACGAAGGGTTTGAGATGGGCTACATCTTTGCTGAAAATGACCAAGCCATACCGCTTGATTTGCAGATCATGATGGCCTCTCAATTTTCTCCCAGCTCTTTCACAGATAGCCTTTCGGCCAGCCACTCGCCGTTCCTCAGTATGCCCAAAGACCTTGGGGATGCCCTGCAGCAAGCGGCTAAAACGGCTGTCGCAAAGACAGAGGGCTTGAGATAGTTTAAATAGTACATCTTACAAGTCAAAAGTGAGTAGTGATAGGCTTCAATGTCGGATGCATGCAACTAGCCGATGACTTCATGTGGGCTATGAATCAGATGCCAGGAAGGCTGTTTTATCGTTGCAACCAGACAGCAGGTATTCATCCGGCAAGTCAACTTCACTACTTCTCCAGTGGAGGATGCAAAAAGAAGTCAAATTTGCCATCGGCCAAATTACAGCGCCAGATAAGCCTCGATGATACATGTGAACGGCACGGAACCCCATAGGTTCCTAGGTTCTTGGCAGATCCGAGCCTTGAGCAGTACCTTCATGTTGCTTGTCAGGTACTGAGCAGTGGCTTGTGCCATCTCACTTTCATCCTTATCTCCCCAGTCGCCACTGTACCACAACTGTCTGCAGTCAGAGGTAGAGAATGTAGTCCATGGCTGTTTGCGTCCGTCCCTTTCACCGGTGCTAGGTATACCACAGATGAGATAGACATCGGTGTGGTCTTGCCCCAAGGTTATTCGAAGCCGCAGGCTCGTTCTATATGACGCATCCTTAGGTATTAGAAACTTCCTGTTTAGACTATCCCAACGATCTGAGGGAAAGCCCTCCATGACTTGCAACTTGAGATGCTCTTCATGATTCTGTAAAATCTGTAGATACACATCTACTCTCCTGATGACAGACTCTTTTATCTGCCTCTGAATAGACGGTGTCACTCTAGAGATCACGCAGGCGTCTTTCTCCACCAACATAGTTCTCCGGGCGTCATCCAATTCCACACGCGTGTGTCGATACTTTGCTGCCATAGGCAGTACCCTCGAGAATAGATTCGGGCCGACTTTCCGAAGAAAAACGTTGAATATCTCTGGGTTCTCGCAATTTGGCGAAGCAGCGTAGTCAAGCTTCATTCCTAGGCAGTTGATCTCCGGAACCTCGAAAAACCGTCGCCGGCCGAATCGGATCCCGCGGTTGGTCATGGAAAACTCTCGTCCGTCCAGCAACGTCCCTCTAATACGCGAGATACTGTTGGATTCAGAAAATGCTTCTGGAGACTTCGCGAGCATGTCGCAGAAATCAAGGTCTGAAAGATCTCGCGGCATTGTTTCTTCCCCTTTGAGTCTTGTCGTTGATTCAGGGCGCAGCGGCGCGTGGCAGAATATGGAAATGTCGTTTGAACGCCGGATGATCTCCTCCTGCAGACGAAGGAACGCCCTATCGCCCTCGCCATATAGCATCGGCATATTGACGTCGAAGATTCCAATGAGACAGTAGGCAATATCCTCAACCCTTGTTGTAGTCCGTCTCGATGCCCATGACATCCTGCGCGCCACCGGCTTCGACTCCAGGAGTGTGCAGTCCCCTAGCACGTCCGCGTCCACCCGCGTGATTCTAGAGATGGCGCCCCTGAAGTCCGATCTGTGTCCTCGGAAGTTCCACTTCTCGTCGTAGAATCGGAGAACCTTGGGCGCAATGAGTTCCTGGAGACACCAGCCGCGGGTGAACCATCTGCAGTCCTTCAAAGCATCGTCGGTAGACTCACCGTTATCACCGGCAGCTGGCCAGTCTGAGAGGAAGGCGTAGCATACTTCGGCATCACGATACCAGCCGAACATGGAGTTAATTGCCTCGCCGAGCTCGGCGCTACTCGTCTTGTCGATGCAGCAGGTGTCGATCCATGCGTACGCTATGCCGTTGGCCTTGGCTTCGCGGCATGTTGCGACGATCTTCTCATGGCCAGACTTCCGCGATGCCTTGTGATCTGGCGTTTCACCAATTTGCGTGAATTCCTGGAAGCTAACCTCCTCATTTTCGACCCATGTATGCGAGAGAATAGCATAAGCTGGCGCTAAACTGGCGGTAAAGAGCCTCAACTGGAGAGTCTCCGTATCGATGAGCCGGATGGACATGCTGCGTGGTGAATCTACTACCTGGAATTTTTGGTGACCTTCAAGTTCGCTTCAGATATCGTGCTCGTCGTGGAGCTTCCTGCCAAAGAGCAGCAGAGCGGCTTGGAAGGCATGCGGAACACGTACGATAATCAACAGTTATGCCGCTTGGGCCGGGTGCCTGACTTTGAGGACAGCTGAGTGTCGTGAATCCTAGTCGTGCAGGTAACATGCATGATGCACCAATAGCGTCGCTTGTCACGCTGCATCCAAGCCAATAGTCACTTATCGTAATTGGCACGATAGCTTGTGTGTGCTCCATTCTTTCTGACTGTCACAGCTACTTGCTCTCTAGGTACTCTTCAACAGGGTTGATATCAGAATATGGGCCAGGAACTCAACATCGAACTTACACCATGAACCAATATCAGGAGATAACACTAAGACATATTGCAAAGCTGCGTATGAAACATAAATGTGACGCTGAATCTTGAATTAAATGCATTACATAGTACTATTACTATACTAAATGCGAAATGGGTATTTACTTTGAAGCTTCAACGCTCCTTGCTTTGCGAATTGCAATGCCTCAAACTCTGTGTTCAGCATCGCTCTGGTACTGTCTCTTATCCTCATCATCTCCGTGAGTAACCAAAGCTTCAGTCTTCTCGCTCACAGCAGCCGCAGGAGGCACCGCAGCATCATCACCGTCAAAGATGACAGCCATTTGCTCCAGGGTGTGTCCGCGAGTCTCGGGGTAGGCGAAGAAGACGGTGATCCAAAGGAGAGCAAGCATCACGATGAATACAATGTAATACTTCCAGTGAATAGCCTCCAGTGCAATGGGGTTCACGAAGGTGTTGATGAAGATAGCGATGACGGTTGAGCACCAGGTGACGGTGAGACCTCGGGATCGGAGGCTGAACTGCCAAATCTCGCAAGGATAGGCCGTAAGGAAGGGGGTCCTAGTGTCATGTAAGTGAGTATTCTCTTGAGAAGACCGCGAAGTTCTCGCGAGTTCGGGACTGGCCCTATATGGGCTCAGAAGATATAGACTTACATGGCGATGTCGTATCCAGCAAAGAAGATGAACAAGAATGGGATGACCGAGGATCCGATGGCCGATGACTGGGTCGTGGCGAAAGAACCACTGAGGCCAGTAATGATGATGAAGCTCACCAACATGACGCTGGCAGAAGTCAAAAACAGGAAACGGCGACCCAGCTTGTCGACGCTGGTGGCGGCAGCGATTGCCCACAGCAGGTTCCAGACGTTCAGGCAAGCTGAAATCAAGGTCTGGTTCGTGACTGATGTGACTCCAATCGAGTTCAGGATGACTAGACAGAGGTTAGCAAAGTCAAACTGACACAGCCTAGGGAAAGGTGTCGAAAGGATGGAGTATCGTACGAGCTAGGCAGATGTTAGCTATCGAGACAAGGAATATGATGTTATCGGTCAAAACTCACGGAGATAGTATGACACCACGCCATTACCAGCCCATTGGGCGTAGATACCGAGAGTAACAGAGATAAAGAGGCGGTGGCGGTTTCCTGGTGTCTTGATCATATCCATATACGAAGCGCTGGAAGAAGCCTCCTTTTCTGCGGTAATGGTGGCCTGGATCTCAACAACCTGGTAGGTTACCAAGGGATCGTTTCTGTTACCACCTGCGTGGTGAGTGGCCAGGATCTCGGTGGCCTCCTCGACGCGTCCAACACTAATCAGCCAACGAGGACTCTCGGGCGACAAGAGGAAGCCGGGCAAGGCAACGAAGGGAAGGACGATCTGGAGGACGACGGGGATACGCCAGCACCAGTCCGAGGCAATGTTACGGCAGGCAAAGGTGACCCAACCGCAAAGGGTACCGCCAAAGTACCAGCCGACCATAAAGAGGGCATTGGCGATGGATCGTTGCTTCGGGTGGGCGATCTCGTTGATCAAGAGAGGTGCAGAGTTTCCGAGCCACGAGGCGGCGATACCGATGAAGAGACGTGAGTAGGTGAAGGTCGCTTCGTTCTGAGCTGCCGTTTGCATGACAACACCGAGGATCAGGAACAAGTATCCGACGTAGATACCGGGCTTGCGACCCCAGCGGTTCGAGCACATGGCGGCGATGGGGAAGGCGATACCGTTTCCGAGCCAGTAGATACCTGTGATCCAACCAAGGTATGCGCCGGAGGGGTTGTGCGTAAAGGCGTTCCATCGAGGTAGGGCGAGGAGACCGCCCATGATGGATCCATCGTAACCGTTGGCAGAAGCTGTGGAAGTCAAAGTTAGCTACCAAAAGTCACTTTTTGCTGAGCCGAGTTTACACACAAAACAACACCATGGACAAGGTGATGAAGTTGAGCTTCCGCAAGTGGGCGTGCTTCCACCAAGGGAGGTCATCGCCGGGGATCACGGCCAGGTCTTCGACAGGTTTACCCATGTTGACGTTGGGTTATCAGAGTCGCAAGAGAGGCTGGCAAAAGGAGAAGAGACAGAAGTTTCCGGATCTGAAGAGGAACTCTCAAAGATGTTGTCGTCAAGTTGTCTAGACTCTTTAGAGCCTGCGAGCGCCGTGAAGCAGGGTCACATCACACAGTCCAGGGGGGGAGAAGGCAAGGTCTATATACAATCGATACTCCCTTCACAAGTGACAACAGGGAAAACAAGTCGGAAGTTGGCTTGCGATTTGCGTACGAAAAAAACCGAGGAGGTGGAGCATGGCATCCCGATGCCCCGGTCGTCGCGTGTTCGTCCGGAACGCAGATTTGGGTCGGATTGGGGATTGGGGAGGGGCCAGAACTCTCCAGTGTTACGCCCCATGGAGAAAACGCTTCCAATGCAGGCCGTCGCGGGGTCCCATACGACCCACTTGACAAACATTGGTAAAAGTGGTTTGCGAAGTGGTCGTAAGGTCGTAAGGATGGTCTGGAGAGAGGAGGACACGGGGGCGGAGAATTGAGTCAGTTCATGCTTTGATGTGACGGGAATAGTCAGAGTTGAGGTCTTCAACAGTCAGGGGACTCAGGGGACTAACACTGTGGCGGAGAAATGTGTTCTTGGCTAACGTTGGCTTTTCCATAGCTGAATCTGCTTAGACCAAACAATGCCCTGTGCCTCACCCCACTAAGCCGTGGCAGTTGAGGCCGGCTTTCAGACCATTTCTTCTATTTCTCCGCCTTCGAAACCGTTTCCCCATCGTGACCAGATTTTCGGCGCGTCGGCTCACCATCCACGCGACTCTGAAGCAGTAAAGTGGACAGTAAAGACCCAGAATACTCACTGATTCAAGTGTAACTACGTCATGGCCTTCGGAATGCGATTCTTTATGTCCGACGTGTGGATCAGAACCCCGCGGTCGAGGGGAGACACAGAGACCATGCTGGAAACTTGGGGCTCCCCGCGTTGGCTCTGGACTCTCGGAATAAAGAGAAGCGCCCGTCGATCGGCTTAATTTTTCCCTTGGTCAATTGCTGGTGTCTACTCTGTCCTTCTTCAGACGAAATTCGGATCTTGTTGTTGGAATTTACCTGCCTCTTCGCCGTCTGAACTGTTTCCCAAGACCAGCTTCTAGTCACACGTTTCACCATGGATGTCGAAGCACTTCTTGAACAGCTCACGCTGGAGGAGAAGATCTCACTCACGGCTGGTCAGTTACCAAAAACTATCACTCGAACTCAATTCTAACTAGAAAAAGGCGTTGGCTGGTGGCACACTGCAACAGTCGAGCGCTTGGGAATCAGGCCGATTCGTCTCTCTGACGGCCCCAATGGCGTTCGCGGTACACACTTCTTCGACAGCACACCTTCCGCGTGCCTTCCGTGCGGAACTGCCATTGGCGCAACATTCGATGTCGAGCTGGTTCAAAGGCTCGGCCGGCTGCTGTCAGATGAAGCTCACGCAAAGGGCGCCCACGTCCTGCTTGGACCTACGATCAACACCCAGCGTGGGCCCCTGGGCGGACGTGGTTTCGAGTCCTACTCCGAAGATCCGGTACTGTCCGGCATCCTCGCCGGCAACTACGTTAATGGAGTCCAAGAGTCAGGCGTGTCAGCCACGCTGAAGCACTTTGTGTGCAACGATCTCGAAAGCGAGCGTATGGCTGTCAACGCCATTGTGACCGACCGTGCCATGCGCGAGATCTACCTGCTTCCCTTCATGATCGCCATTGAGATGGGTAAGCCTCGCGCGATCATGACCGCCTATAACCAGGTCAACGGCGTCCATGCGGCGGAAAGCAAGAAGATTTTGCAGGACATCCTGCGCGACGAGTGGAAGTGGGACGGACTGGTCATGAGCGACTGGTTCGGTACCTACAGCACATCTGAGGCCATCAAGGCAGGTCTCGACCTCGAGATGCCGGGCCCTAGCAGATGGCGCGCCGGAGCTCTCTCCCACGCCATCATGTCTAACAAGGTCAAGCGATCAGAGCTCGACTCGGCGGTGCGAAACGTCCTGAAGCTGGTCAAGCAGGGCCTCGAGAACACCTCCATCCCGCCCAACGCCCCGGAAACCGAGGCGAATACACCAGAGCACATTGCACTCCTGCGCGAAGCAGCCGCCAAGTCCTTGGTACTCCTGAAGAATGAGAGAAACATCCTTCCTTTTGACAAGAAGAAGAAGATTGCCGTCATCGGGCCCAACGCGAACATCGCGACCTACTGCGGCGGTGGTAGCGCCGGACTCAGAGCCTATAACACCGTCACTCCTCTGGAGGGCGTCAAGTCCCTCGCAAGCGAAGTCGTTTTCTCACAAGGTGCCTACGGTCATCAGTCTCTGCCTCTCCTTGGCAAGGCTCTCAAAACACCAAACGGAAAGCAAAGGGGTTTCGTGCTCCGCATCTACAACGACCCCCCACCCAAGGACACCGCCAGCTCAGCCGACAGCCGGACACCCCTCGAGGAGCGCGTCCTCGACGATGCCAACATCTGGTTCGTCGACTACGAGAACGCCGACCTCAACCCCATCTGGTGGGCCGAGACGGAGGGCACCCTCGTCCCCGAGCGATCAGGAGAGTGGGACTTTGGCCTGTCAGTCCACGGCACCGGCGAGCTCTTCATCGATGGCAAGCTAGTCGTCTCCAATGTGGAGAACCAGCGCCTGGGCAGCAGTTTCCTCGGCTGTGGAACGGTCGAGGAGACGGGCACCATGCACCTGGAAGCCGGACGAAGCTACCGCGTCTTGGTGCGCTTCGGCTGCTCGGCCACCAGCAAGGTCAAGGCCTCCGGCACCGTTGACTTTGGCCAGGGCGGCGTCCGCTTCAGCGGCTGCCCTAAGCTCGAGCCTGCTACCGCGATCCAAGAGGCCGTGGAGGTCGCCAAGAGCGTCGACCAGGTCGTTGTGTGCACCGGTCTGAGCGGCGAGTGGGAGTCTGAAGGATTCGACCGGACGACGATGGCTCTGCCTCCTGGCACCGACGAGCTTGTTGCTGCTGTGCTGGCGGCGAACCCCAACACGGCTGTTGTCGTTCAGAGCGGTACGCCGGTCTCCATGCCTTGGATCGACCAGGCTGGCGCTGTCCTGCATGCTTGGTTTGGTGGCAACGAGTCTGGTAACGGCATTGCGGATGTACTCTTTGGAGAGGTCAACCCGGTAAGTTATCTCAGGTGCCATCGGCGAGCGTGAATTTACCCTACTAACAAGCTACATCGCAGGCCGGAAAGCTTCCCCTTACGATGCCGCGCCGAGTACAAGACAACCCCGCAGCACTAAGCTTTCGCTCAGATAATGGCCGTTGCTTGTATAGTGAAGATGTTTACGTCGGCTACCGCTGGTATGACACGCTCGACATTGAACCTCTGTTCCCCTTCGGACACGGCCTTTCCTACACGACATTCGAGGTCTCCGATCTCGAGGTGTCTGACACATCGGCCCAGACCAACGGTCACGCCAATGGCAACAACACAATTACGATCCAGGAGGCGGATAACCTCACCGTCCGTGTCAAGGTCGGCAACACGGGCTCTCGTGCCGGTTCTGAAGTTGTTCAGGTCTACGTTACACCGGCTGCGCGCACGCCATTGACCAGCACGACTCGGGACACCATCACTCGTCCCAAGAAGGAGATGAAGGGCTTCGCAAAGGTAACGCTGGAAGCCGGAGCTAGCGCCACGGCAGAGATCTGTCTGGATGTTCTGCGTGCGACGAGCTACTGGAGCGAGATGGAAGACTGCTGGCGCAGCGATGCTGGCTCTTACGGCATTCTCGTGGGAACCAGCAGCCGTGGAGAGTTCCTCGAGAAGACCGTCAAGGTGGAGAAGTCGAGGACATGGAGGGGATTGAGGGCATAGACGAATAGACTTAGACATGCATTCTGTACATAAGTGGTTGGGATATTAGACATTATGCGTTGAGACGAGGGTTAGAAACACCTCATAACGCATGTTCTGCTCATAAGAGCACATTTCAAACTTGAAACTGATGATGATCAGAGCGATTGGCAGAGGGTTGTATAAAGTATTCTCAGTAATCTTGGTGATTTGATAATTTTTTCGCAGAACTTCACGTTAAGGGTTTCACTCGAGGACCTCCGTAGGCTGATTTGAGTCGTGCCATCCCACTCGACGGATCTGGTCTCAAAGGTTATCGGCCTTTCGCCGCGATCACGCATCAACAGACTTCGGGCGTTGCCCGAGTCATCCCTGGTGATAAAACATCTTCCGATCACGCGCAGAGCTGCCATCCCATGTCTAACCCCATTCGAGAGTGGAAAATCGGCTGGGGACCCCAGAATTAATCGGCCGGGGCCACAACGCGCCTCCATCATGTCCCATTGACCATGGGAACTAGCGTTGGGATCAAGTAACACTAAAAGGGAGCATGTCCACCCCATTTCATCCCATTTCTCCGCATTCTTCACATTTCTCCCCCTCTCCACGTTTTCCAGAAATCCCGGCAGGATGGGTGCGGCACCACCATCCCTATCGGTCCGAATTCCACCAGCATGCGCCGTCGCTCAAGCACTCAGGCTGCGTCCGTCAGCGTCTCGCCAACTGCGATTCGAAGGGCTGCTAGCAAAACGCCGGATGAGATTACGGGCTTATCGTCGACGGCAGCGGTGAGATCGAGCATCGCCAGCAGAGCGTGCGACGCTTGTCGTGCCCGGAGGAGAAAATGCCACTTTGACGGGTCTTCGCCCCATGCTGAGGGCCCGTCTCCGACGCAGTGTCGTGATTGCTGCAGACTCGGCATACCATGCAGCTTCCTGGTGCCCACGCGGCCGCGGGGACCTAAACGAAGGTATGAAGATCCGGGGTAGCATGGGTTTCGTTCTGTCTATCTTTTCCGCCCAGAGTCACTCACTTACTGGCTGGGCAGGAAACGTCTCCCATCAATGTCTGATAGGAGCGAGAGTGAGCTTCCCAATGAAGCGGAGACTCATCATGCAGAGATTGTCGAGCAGCAGTCTCAGCAAGCTCCCGAGCCTGCAGTGAGCATTGAACCTGTCCTCGTCTTGCCAGGCCAAACTCCTCCTTCAAGACCTTCACAAGCCAGGTCTCCTTATGAGCCGTCCCATTCTGTCCTTCATGGCCCATCTCCGCGCGCCGCAGTTCCGGCTGAGACGGAATCGCCTTCGGTAGCCAGCGCAGGGTTCCCTACAGATGAGTTGTGCTCAAGAGCACTTATACACATCTTGATGGCAGATTACCTCGACTTAGTCTACCCGCTGGTTCCCGTCGTCCATCGGCCCAGTTTCCGTCATGATCTGGCCACAAACCGGGATATCACCGATCCGGACTTCTTTGCCGTCCTGATGAGTTTGGCCGCGCTCACGGTCGGGCTTTTACCGTCGCGCTTCCGCGACTACAGGGCTGTTGACCCTGAGGCTGCGATGCGCTTTGAAAATAGAACTGCGATGATCAACTGTTGCGCGGAGATATGTACTCGACAACGGACTGCAAACTACTGGGACCACATCAACCATCGGAAATGGGCAGTGTGCTATGTTCTTTCCGTCGCCTGTTTTCAAACGGGCCAGGTTAATCGGAGCCGGATGTTCGATGTGGAGTATCTGCAAGTTTCGCGACTTCTCGGGCTGCATCGCATTTCCGAGTATGAGGGTCTCAACTGCATCGAGACCCAGTTACGGAAGAAGGCCTTCTGGATGCTCTTCTACGGCTACGCGTAAGCCGAACTCTCATCCTTGGTGAACTATTCTGATTACAAAAGACTAATAACTCCTAGGCATACCAGAGTTCAAGCCGGACGCTGGGAGCGTCTGACATACTTTGGGCCTGGCGAACTACGCGAGGTCAACTACGAAGCTCTCATGCCCCTCGACATTGACGATGAGCACATCTTCAGAGATAGGATCCTTGATCCCGGCTCTCCAATGGCATCGCACGGAACACCATCCGCCCATACGCAGGAACCCCGAGCGACGTTCACACTGACCAGCGGCTTCATCATCCACTCCCGGGTATTTCACAAGGGTCTCCAGGAAGCCATAGCAACCTTGGGCTGCGAATGTGAGCTTCGTCGCACCCCTGCCGCTCGTCTCGCGCGCATGCGCGATCTTCTCCAAGAGATGAGATACATGCTCGACGATGTCCCGGGTCCCATGCGGCAATGGGCTTCCAACGATGGGGGTACCGATGCGGCACCCAGCACACCGCGATTTGACGATGAAAGAGCTGCAGCTGCTGCGTCTAGCTATGGCAGCCCGGCAGACTATAGCCGTGCTCCGGAGGCCGGATCCTACTCACAGGTGATCCAGGGCCAAGCCGAGATCATGAGGGCTAACATCCATGTCACGCATCTGTGGTTGCAGAGCTTGCTGCTGGAACAAGTCGACGGTGTCACTCAAGAGAGCGCGATTGCCAACCCATCGACGACTGGACGTGAGGAAGTATCGGCAGCCCTGAAAGCGAACTGGGCTGAGCGTGAGGATATTTGCCGTCAAATGCTGCACTTGCTACACAGCATCCCATACGTCCACCTGGAACCAAACGGACTCTACTTGGTATGCTCAACGCTTGATCCCAGCTCATGCAAAGTTCAATCTCTAATCACATCCCCCCAGGCATACAAGGTTCGCGACGTAGCTGTAACGCTACTCAACTGTCCATTCGAAGCCCATGAACGGCCTGCCCGTCGTGCGGTGGAGTACATGCGGGATTTCACTCGCGCATTGTCGCGGCTCGATCGAAGTGAAATTGTGAATACGAATAGTCTGAAAAGCTGGATCGACATAGACCGGGAGCCTGCAATTTGACAGGATAGTCTACAGCATTTCAGCATCGACAGGTGGAACGCTAAGCTCACCGAGTCAAAATGATGACTTTATCAGACATTGGAAAGGTGCCATAAATTACCAATAAGGGTCGCATATAAACGGCATTAATCATGTTTCGAAATGGAATCGTAATTAAAGATGATTTACATATGGTGACTTGGTGTAAAGTTAACAAGTCACAATTTCTTGAGGCTTTACAATATCATTGTTGAAACATATTATATGTGGCTGTTATGCATTAGCAGTAGTTGGCTCCCTCCGGCGTCAGGACTCCTAGCTACTTGGAGTGTTGCTTCGCGCATTACACTAAATTTAACGCGGCAAAATAGGCTCAAGACTTGCTGACATGGCTCCTTGAAGCTAAAATCACATAATCCATTTAAAGAGGTAACTACATTTTGAATAAAGGCAAAAGAATCAAAAGATTTGAACCCGGAGAGGTTCGAACTCTCGACTTTGAAGAAACATACTGCCGTGGTGATCACGAAGTATAAGCATCACACTCTAACCAACTGAGTTACGGGTCCTGGGTTGCGCCGAAAAGCGCTGGATTGCGGGTCTATGATGCGAGTCTCCGTATTTCCCCCATGTTTACTCGGGTCTCCGAGCGCCAAGGTGGAAGCAACGTTTGTTGTGCTTGGGGGCTTGCCAGTTTGGCGCCGCAGCTTTGATCAGAACAAAGGCGCGAGAGGATGCTTGAAACAAATGACACAATGTCAGTGGAAAGTTTGTGAGTGCAATTGAAGACTTGGGTTGATTGGCAAGTACGAAACTTTGAAGGGAATTTTTCCTTTCCCCAAGTTTTTTTTCCCGGAGAGACCAAGTGGGCACTGCCACCAATGAAATGGCTTGGTCTAAATCCCTGACCCCTCTGGCTTGAGCTGTCTGAATCGCCATGTTAAGCCACAACTTGACAACCTCGGCTTCATTCTATGTTGCTGGGCTGCAATTCCAGACCTGTCGATGTCGACTTCATCACTTCAATCGCAGCAAATACGGACTGAGAAAATCAAACGTAAAATTATGGTAAAGATATCGTTCATGCTCGACAGCCGCTATTCGGATTACCAAGTACAACAATGGAGAGCTGGCTGATTAATCCAGGGCCAGAGCTCACTCTTCCAACCAATACAAGACATAAAGCAAGTCATCATACCACCAACGCCTTGTTGACCGAGCTTATCGCTCAATCACCCATGCTTTGTCATTACTTCCTAGAAACTTCCCGGCCCTCCTTCTCTTACAAAGATCACTCCTTTGTCGATGGTCGGTATTCACTTTCCTGCCCTGCGAATGAGAAACGTGGCATGTATCTGGGTGGTGGAGAATTACCCGAGTCCCTCGCCGTTGGCAGCTCGACTGGCGCAGCGGCGGGTGCAGCAGGGGCCGCAGCAGGAGTTGTCGCCTGGTTGTCCGGGGCTTCGACGACAACACTGGGAGCTATAGATGAGATCCGGTGGTCGCTGGGACTTTGATCAGCAAAGGCCGAAAACAGACCCGCAAGAGCTCAGAGACTTACTAGTAGGTCTGCATGCCGTTGACAGGATGTGTGAATCCGGTAGGCTGGGGGCTCAGTTGAGGAGAGAATTGAGCTGTGGGAGTGGCGTGGTCACGGTAGGGACCGCTGAAGTTGCTATAGTGACTGTTTCTCCATCCTTGAGTTGATGGACTCTTGGGCTGCATCGAGTAATTGAGCTCCGTGACGGCGGGCTGGGATGGAGCATTGGGAGGTGCCTGGTACGCGGTAGAGGTTCTCTTATAGGCGCGATTGATGCCGCCTCGTCGGCCGCACAGGTATACCAGTAAGCCTCCCACGAGGAGGAAAGCCAGAGACCCGATCACGATACCGGCGATTTGGCCGCCGCTGACACTGTGATGGTAGTTGTTGATAACGGCACCGTTATTGGAGCCGCCGCTGGTTGCCTTTGGTGCATCTGATTCAGTTGGGAAGGGTTCGCCAGGAAGAATCTGAGTGGTCAGTGGGAGGGCTGCTTCGAGCTGTTTGTCGAGTGTCTGGGTTGAGTTCTGAGACTTTATGAGTATATATGAATCTCTCAGCATCCTTGGGAATTTGCCTTACCTCGTTGATCACACCGACCATCTTCTCTTTGTAGCATGAACCGGGAGCACCACAGTAGTAGAAGATGGGAAGCGTGTCATTGACGCGAACCCTGTACCGTGGCATCTGAATCATGTTAGTCCCCAACACCAGCCGAGCTTCCATGCGCCATACTAACATCATTCGTGATGGCCTTGACCGACTGGTTTCCGCTGTAAAAGCCCTCGCGGCCAATGTCAATATACTCGTATGGCGTGCAAGGGAATCCAAACTCGGCGCGAATAACCGAGTGAGCATCGGGATAAAATATCCATTCGATGGTATCGCCGACATTGGCTTCCGTCTTTGCGGGTGAAAACGCGAACCCGGACTTGCAGCAGTTTAGCTAATATGAAATGATTCTTTGGGTACCCATTCACCTACAGCTCCGACGGCAATAGTATGTGTCTGCGCAGCAGCAGCAGAAGCGGTTCCGGTGGCCGAGGCAAATGCCAGTGTCCCGGTAGTCGTAGAGCTAGATGTCGTAGATGTGAGGAAGGGCGAGATTGTTATTGTCGGCAGCACCTGAGCATTCATCAGGCCCGCTAGAGTGGCTACTCCTAACGTGAAAGACCGCATCTTATCAGGAAGCTGTGTTGTTCAATCACAGTATTGAGACTGGAACCAAGCAATGGTGACGGGAGAGAAACCAGAACAGAGGACAGCTCAAATGAGGAGTGGGGATGTAACGTGTGAAGGGTCCATGGCAATACTTATTGCGGCAAACATCCTCATGTACATGCCGGGCCGGGCTAACGATGGGGCTGGGGCGGGGGACTCGGGCCCAAAGGCTGAGACCATCAGTCTGCATCCTGCTCGAGAACTCCGCCCAATGCATGCATGAGAGACCCGTTGGCTTGGTGCCCACATGGCAGAGGCTGCCTTACAGCTCATGGTTCGACTATCTTTCATACTGGTCACCGAGAGAAAGAAAAGTGGCGGATATCCATGCAGCCAGGAGTCATGGATAATGGTCGCGCCTTCAAGACAGCCTTTGTTTAACGTCGATCGATGAGTCGAGTCTTTACAGCAAGGAGGTTTCTCGCCGCGCCCATCGCTCGTAGATAACATACTGGGAGGAGACAAAGCTTCACAAGGATATCGAGGCGTTTGCCATCGTTAGGCGTGCGTGCGAAGTACCGAACATGGCGTAACCATAAGTTATAATGAAACGTGCGAATTCTTGTGACACTTGAAGTAGTCTGGAGTAAGCCAACACAGCAAACGATTCATTTGGCAAGACTTGGGAACTACTAGAGTTCAGGACGCGATACGGAGCAGATGGCCGAGCTGGGTTGACTTAAGCCAGTGTTGGAAACGATCCTACGCAAAGCATAGTTATCACTAGAAAAAAGTGATATTGAGACGAACTGTCGCGAGAGGCCCCTTGGTGAACATGAAGGTCAACTATCACACCAGGGAACCGGCGGCTTCATACATGTTTGCTGCCTTAGCCCGGACTTTGAATGCGCTCGGCCGGCTCTCACCTGAGCCATGTTTGGTGGCGTTTGTCCTACAGGGAGGACCATTTAGGGAAGCAAGCAGGACCACGCATGGTTGAGGTCCCTCGCTGAGCTACTTGTCGTGAGTCCGGATCAGCGGTCCATGTGGTAGGCCGCAGTAAGCCGGACCAGACGAAGAAGGTCCGAAACTTTGCACCATGAATAGATATCTGAAAAGAGGCTGCTGGAGTGGCCGCGCTGCTCACCTTTACACCATACACTTGCCTGTATCCCTTGGTTGTAGATCAAACTTAATGCAGTGCCCATCTCAAAGATCACCAACCCAACGGCTTTGCCGCGGTGATACAGCAAGATTTGGCCGGGAAAGAGACTGAAGAAACAACTGACGTCCCGATTAAGACGAGTTGTGTCCGGACAATGCAGGCGCTAAGACATTGTCAGGGTCCTAGTATTGCACTAGCGGCGAGCATCAGGCTCTGGGGATAGATCCAGGGCTGAGAGTAAGACAATATGTGGAAAAAACAGCTGGCCACCCTCCCTTGGTTTCGAATTCTCCGGGAACGGGTGTCGTCAATACTAAGACGATGTCCAGAGTAAAAGCCGTGAGCCGAGGTGCCGGACAACGGCACCAGACTCAAAATCATAAGTGGTGGTTTGTGGTGTTTGAAGTTGCTGACTGCATGGCTGAGCCGTGTCAGGGAGCCTAAAAGCAGACACCAAATTGAAGAACAAACTTTTGACTGAGTTTATACTTGAGGAATGTCGAGATGGAGGACTCGCGTGGTTCCGGTCATCTCACTGTGAGAAACCCGAGTAACGCTGGGCTCGGCACGGTGAGGCATGTTTCCTGAAGAGCTTACTCATATCAATGACCCATGTTCGTGACTGATAGCAGAATCGGTACCGAAGCCATGCCTCAGCTCTAGCTCCCTGACATGGAAGCTTTTGGCGGCAAAGTGCGTAAGGATTTCGCTTGGGCGAGAGCGCAGCTACCGCACAGACCAGCTCCCTTACGCCCAGCGGCTGACGGTATTCCGAGACTCTTTGGTACGCGCGACTTGGATGCGTAGGGACAGGAGGAAGTAAAGTTTGAGATCAGCCGCATGCGCAGTGAATCTTCGGGAAGATGTTCGAAGGTAATGGTTGACTAGTTGTTGCTTCATCATCAATACTTACACAGGGAGTGGGCGATGAAGGCGGAAGAAGCGAGTCGGAATGTCGGTAAGAAGGCGTCTCATGAAGAGAAGCAGATTTCGCAAGAATACAATCAAGTGAGATTGCGTTTCTTGGTCGAGTCTCACGAGAGGTTTGTAGCGACTAATTGGAAACAAATCGGATCATCTGCGGAGATGTATCGAAGGGAAGCAGATGCTGAATGCGCGGAGTAAGTAGTGTCTGGAAAGGTAGACATCTCGAGAATATGAGAGGGAATGCGGGCTTTAGCAGAAGCCGAAATTACTGGAGCGTATTGAGACCAATAGCCAAAATCTCTGAGAATATCCATGCCAGGTGATTTTGAATTCCGAAGATCAAAGTCGACGAAAACAGATCGCAAGTATCCAAGGCTCATGACATTAGAAGTGTCTGCTGACTAACGCACTTTGACCGGGGATCACCTTAGCGCGGAAGGAAGCACCTCAAGCGGGCCCAGAGGTCTGGACAGATCCACTTCGACCAGAGCTCTTGGCCAATCATATTACAGTTTCAGAGCTTGACCTCTTCAGGGAAAAAAGTTCCAGCCTCGCGCCTGTGGACTGCGCCTCTGCCTCACGCGGCAATCTTCAACTCCATCGCCAATTGCCTTCTCTAGCCTGGGTTGACCATCATTTACGATTAGCCCTATCACGCCACGTGCAATCGCAATCATGAACGGCGACGGCTATTCTCGTGGTAAGTCTGCACGATGTCTGACAGACCTCTATATGCCTGTGCCTCTGTGTCTAACAAACGCCTTTGGGGAGGAAAGGTCGAGGAAAGGGATCTCGCGACTATCCGGTATGTGTTCATCACTCACAACGAAGTACTTGCACCAAAGGCTGAAACTTGATACAGAGGGAGCGCGATGATAGACGCGGTGGCGATAGAGACAGGCACCGAGACCGAAGACGTTCCCGTTCCCCCTACGACCGAAGCTCCAGACGTCGCGAGGACGAGGACAGTTACGCGACAAGTCGCAGTCATCGCGAGCGCGAGCGTGAGGATAGATACTCTGGGCGCGAGAGGCGTGGTGGAGACCGAGAGTGGGATCGCGACCGCGGATCCTCCAGACGCGATGCCAGAAGAGACGATGACGATCGCCCGCGGAGAGATCGCGACCCTTACGACGACCGACGCCGAGGCGGACGAGACAGAAATGAGGATGCCGGATTTGGCCGCCGTGAACAACAACAGCAACGCCAGCGAAGCGCGACGCCACCTCCCAAGAAGAGAGAGCCTACACCTGATTTGACAAACATCACATCAGTCTTGGAGCGCAAGCGACGTTTGACTCAGTGGGACATCAAACCCCCCGGCTATGAGAATGTCACTGCTGAACAAGCCAAGCTCTCAGGCATGTTCCCTCTGCCCGGTGCTCCTCGTCAGCAACCCATGGATCCCAGCAAGCTTCAAGCCATCATGAACCAGCCAGGTGGCCAAGTCAACAGCGCTGCGCTGAAGCCGAGCAACTCGCGCCAGGCCAAGCGTCTGCTCATCAACAACCTTCCCCCATCCACGACCGAAGAAACCCTCCAGAACTTCTTCAACTTGCAGCTTAACGGCCTTAACATCATCGAGAGCACCGACCCCTGCACCAGCTGTCAGGTTTCAAAGGACAACTCCTTCGCCGTAGTTGAGTTCAGAAACGCTTCCGAGGCCACCGTAGCCCTCGCTCTCGATGGCATCTCGATGGAGGCCGACGATGCCACAAATGGCGCAGCCGGTAGCCAAGGCCTTGTGATTCGTCGCCCGAAGGATTACATCGTTCCCGCGGTGGTTGACGACGTCCCATATGAGCCGGGCGTTGTTTCCAACACGGTGATCGATACTCCTAACAAGATCAGCATTGTGAACATGCCTCCTTACCTGTCAGATGAACAAGTTTCGGAGCTTTTGGTGTCATTTGGCGAGCTCAAGGCGTTCGTGCTTGTTCGTGATAGAAGCACAGAAGAGTCTCGGGTAAGCTGAGTCGCATTTGGCCATCATACGTATCACACTAACAACCCTTGCAGGGAATCGCGTTCTGCGAGTACGTTGATCCAGCAGCTACGGACGTTGCCATTCAAGGCCTCAACGGTATGGACCTTGGAGACAAGAAGCTCAGGGTACAGAAGGCCAGTGTTGGTGTAACTCAAGTTGCTGGGGTGGAAATGGGAGTCGCAGCCATGTCTATGCTGGCTGGAACGACTTCAACTGACTCTGAAGAAACCCGTGTTCTGCAACTTCTCAACATGGTCACTCCAGAGGAGTTGATGGACCCTGACGATTATGAGGGTAAGCGACAATATCTAAGTCTGGCCTTGTGCACATACTGACAATCTGCAGAAATCAAGGAGGATGTTCAGGAAGAGTGCGCCAAATTTGGCAACGTGCTGGATATCAAGATCCCTCGTCCCGTGGGAGGCAGCAGACAATCTGCCGGTGTTGGCAAGATCTTTGTCAAGTTCGAGACTAAGGAGTCATCCAAGAAAGCGCTCCAAGCACTCGCAGGACGCAAGTTTGCGGATCGCACTGTTGTTACCACGTACTTCCCCGAGGTAAGAAGAGCCCCAGGATCGCATCGCGAAACAATTACTGACTCTGCTGTAGGAAAACTTCGAAGTCGGTGCCTGGTAACCGTGTTCACATTGGGCACAGGGAGCAGAGAGATAACATAATCAAAAAGGCAAGGCTCGGCGGAAGAGGGAAATTTAGGCCGATCATATTCTGACAGCCTTGTAACCATTCAAAATGCTGTACCATAATTCCACGATGCGGGCCGCAGGCGACAGGGACGGGAGCATTCACCAAGTCGCAAAATTGCAGATGACTTGCGGCGGCTTCAAGCCGGCGCGGTGGAGAAAAACTAGGGGTGTTTTATAAAAACTTTCTGACCGAGAACCACAGTTCAAGGCGTTGATTGTACCTTCGTAGTTGTATTTGCATCAATGGAACACCTCTTCATGTTTGATTTACGTTGAAGTTCACAGATGATGAGATCTTCGACTGCAAAACATGTATGCCCACATCACTCTTCAGTCACT